GGCCGAAAGAAAAGAAAAAGCAGAAAAAGATTTTAAATAGCAAATTATCATACAAAATATATAGAAATTTAGTATTCTAAGTATAAGTAGCCTAAAGCCACGAATACTAAATTTCTAACGTATATGTTGAAACTCCGCAAATTGTAATAAAATTATCGTTCGATAAACATTTAATTACACACACTAACAATACATACACAACAAATACAGCGACATAAAACAAATGAAAAAAATCATATTTATTTGATATTTCTTAGTTTTAACATATATATGTATTATACGGTCTATATTTACTCTTTTCTTCGTCTTTAACCAATTTATTACTGCCCCATAAATTATTAACGTAAAATTAGAATTGAATAACGGGATTCAGCATAATTGGACTTTATTCTAGTTTCGCTATGACCTAACGATGTCAGTGATCGATGACGCAACCCCGCTCGTCTTCAGAGATCCGTTCCGCAAGTCCCCGTAACACTCTGTTTATTACCGTTGCTTTAAAATTGCTTCATCTGTTTAAAAGTGTGCAAGAACTTATCCAGTTACTTTAGGATCCTCCTTATCATTATTAGTGTTCAAAGCTGGCACTCGTTGTATTTGTTATTTATTATTACTGCTATGTTAAGAACATACTTAACATAAGCTCGAACGGTGAAGGAAAACATCGTCAGGAAACCAACATGTCTTAGACCCAAAAAGTCGATGGCGTGTGTCAGGCACTGGAGGCTGATCACCGACTTGCCTATTAGATTCAAAAATTATCATGAAATAGATTCAGAAATCTGAGGCCAAGACCTAAAGAGGTTGTAGCGCCACTAATTTATTTTTTATTTATTTTATGTTAAGAAATATTGTAAATACAATAAACTATCACTTTTCAAATATTTTTTGTTGGTTTTTCATGAAATATTGTGCATAATTGTGATTCTCGTTTTGGACAACAGCCTTGCGATTCTGTTACTCACACAGCGGTTTTCGTAGCGGCGGTCGCGCTCAAATCAGTCGTGAAGCAGTCATTTTATGATTTGGCATTCTGATAAGGAGGGAGCTTGTAGTTTATTGTTTATCAGAATGCCAAATGCAAAATGTTCGAAAAGTGAGTTACAGAATCGCAAGGCTGTAACAAATTCTCTAAATGTATAATAAAATTGTTACCCGAAGTATTAAACTCCGAAAATAAAAATACTTATATCTTGTAATTAGTAATCGCATTAGACTGCGTCCGTTACTAGATTAGTCACGCAAGTGAACAACCATGAAGTCCTGTTGGAACATTTCTGTTTGAACGACTCACGCTGATTCGTTTACCATAGATGCAAATTACGCAATTGCAATATCTGAATTATAATTTTATTGTTTACTAGATGCTTGACTCGGTAAAATTCGTCTCACCTAGGTATATATTTTAAAACAGACCAAAGATATCGGAACTGATACTACAGCTATGAAACACAAATTTTTGAAGGATATAGATATATGACAACCAAGTGACAATTTTTCATTTCTAAAAATAAAAGACCCAGCTAAGAACTAAGAAAGTTTTTTATTGGAAAATTCAATTGTATTTTTCTTTACTTATTTATGTTATCCACCGTTTAAACCTGCCCTGAACTTACACAAATATTTCTAGATTTTAAGTAGCCAAATCTGTCAAGCCATTCTCAAGTTTTATCGAGACAAACGAACAGCATCTCATCAATATATATGGCACAATTTTATTTCCATCCCGTAAAAGTTGAAATAAATTAATTGAAAATGTCGATTTAATTTAATACAACGCAATAGCAGAAAAAAACAAAGCGATTCAGTATATAGGCAAGATCGTTTCAATGTAACAAAGGTAGTAAACATTGAGCATTTAAGAAACAATAGTACGGTAGCAGGTAGCCGGTCAAAGGAAGCGGAATCACGCGTCACAGACGACCCCAGCAACCAACGATTAGTGACCATTTACCTACAACCCTTAATAAGCAAGAAAACAAATATCAAATGTTTACACTTCGTTCTATCTTTTACTCTTTTATAGTCTCCTTTCGAAGATTGGTGATTATGTCTAGATCCAAAAGATGTCGTACTTCTGAACAATGACTTGGTAATAATAATAATAATAATCAGTGGCGCTACAACCTCTTTAGGTCTTGGCCTCAGATTTCTGAATTTGTTTCATGATCATTTTTAAATCTGATAGGCATTTAGGTGATCAGCCTCCAGTGCCTGACACACGCCTTCGTCTTTTTGGGTCTAAGACATGTCGGTTTCCTCACGATTTTTTCTTTCACCGTTCGAGCAAATGTTTAATGCGCACATAGAAAGAATGTCCATTGGTGCACAGCCGAGAATCGAACCTACGACCTCAGTTATGAGAGTCGCACGCTGAAGCCACTAGGCCAACACTGCTCTTATTGAGCTCTTACTGAACAATGACTTGGTACCTACTTTGACCAAACTGTATTTTATTCTCTAGAGCAAAAAAGTTAATTGGGCTTATACCACCCATTTACTATAATAATCTACAAGGCAGTGCGCCCGCCAAGTCGAGCAAGAAAGCGGCACGGCCGCACCATCGTTTTCTCGAAGCAGCTCAAGCCATTTTCGACCCCTATAACTTCTTTGTGGATAAAATTAGAAGCCTGAATTTTGAATTTACTAAATTACGTAATAACTTAAGACAGAAGGAAGAAGGAAAGAAGGCGAGGAACTGAATAAATTAACCGACTTGGTATTACAAGGATCTCACAAATTTTGAAGAAAATCTGAGTTGCGGGAGTTCAGTTGACGGTTGTTGGACGGATGTTCAAATAAATGTAACACTTTGTTTGAAGGTGTCAACAGACTGTAATCGTTTTATAAGTAACATAAAATTAGGGGCTTAAAGTTGCGACGCTAGACTAACAAAAAACTAACTTGACTTATTTATGTGTTCTTAAATCTAAGTGACATATTGGTTACCTAAGAATATAAGCTTAAGCTAATAGCTCGACTAGCTATTGGACATTCTCGTTTCCGAGAATGTTATACAGTAGAGCTCCAATTATTCGAACTCCGACTATCCGAATCGCTGATTATCCGAAGTGCGCTATTATTCTCAATGACGATGAAATTGTTGTGTGAGAGAAGATGTTGAAGTGGAAGTGGAAGAAGAACTTTCTACTGATGTTGAAGTAGACGCTGGACCATCAGCTAGTGAAGCATTTGCCGGCCTCGAGACTGCTTTGAAGTGGATGGAGTGTCAGCCCGAGTGTGACCACTTGCAACTGCTCACCGTCAAGCGAATGCGTGACCTGGCTGCCCGAAAACGGTTGAAGACCGCAAAACAGCTTAAATTGACGGAGATGTTTAAAAAACAATGATTTTTATTTCTAAACTTGTACATAAGTACATTTTATTTATATTTAAAACATGTGAAAATTTCATGTTTCTTTCATTTAATTCAATAAAAAAATAGTGCAATATCAAAACGTAGCTTTTATTCTCTCCAATGGCAATTTTTTTTAAAAAAATCCGAATATCCGAATGGGTCCCGGTCCCCATTAATTCGGATAATTGGAGTTCTACTGTATTACAAGTTATGAGTGTATGAAAAACTAAAGGACTTATTAACTATTAAAACTGACGTTTTACAATTTATTGGCTACAAGTGGAAGATGATTGTTAACATTTCGTTTCCGCTTCCAATTATTAACTAAAATATATATGTATATGTAAATTAACTTATGTTAGCTTACATAACTCGAGGCTTGTTTTTTACAAGTTATGTTTTTGTTGGCTGTCTTTTACTTGCGTGAGTATCATAGTGGTACTTCAGGTTTGGACTTGCGAACCTAATTGATATAATTCCATACTTTCAATTGGTTTGAAAGCATTTTAATTCCTCTATATAGTACATATAATAGTAGAGTGATATAACGTAAAAAGCTTTTAATATAAATTGAACTAACTTTTTGCAGTAATCAGCTATAGAAATGTGTGAGCGCATTAACTTTCATTGAAATTGTTCAATACATCGTAATGGGTATAAGAGTCGGAAGTAGAAATCAATCATAAATCATTATGATTATAATAAATAAATAAAGTTAGTGCTTAAAGGCACTTAGAAAATGCTGTCCTAATTATAACTTTACCTGAGGGAGAAGGACAAATCTAATTAAATCAGTAAGGTTTATTTATAACATGACAATAAATATGGAGAAATAAATGATGCATAATACAACATTAGTTTTTGATTTGCAAGTTATACTATAATATTTTTATTTGTGTATAACTTTTTTGTAACTAAATCATTTTCGTTTTTATGTTTTATAATAAATAATATAAGAGTTAAAATTTGATTTCAATAAAAACAGTACATTTTTTAGGCAACAGAATTATATTCGTTTTTTAATTCTTTTTAAAATTGCTAAACTTGATAACAGTATTTAATTAGTTATTTGTTTAAAAACCTTTGGGGTAATCCTTTGAACGACCCTTTGTATCAGCTCATTCGTAAAACCTATGCATTGAATCTCAGGTCCTCCAAGTTTTAGGTAAATCATGTGCTTTACTATACACTAATGACCTTAAAGAATAATTATTTACCAACACGTAAAAATTATTTAAAATAACAATTAATTAAAATAGTTTTCCAGTAAGTTTTGAAATAAACCGGAAGCGTCGTGGGGGATTTATTGCGATACCGACTTCCTGTACACCTCGCTTGTCTTTGCGCACCTGCCATGAAAATGTTTGCAATCAATATACAATTAACTAAAATTATTATTCATTACTAATGACTTGTCCAGCGGCGCTAAACCCTTTATGGGTATGAATGACTGAATATGAGCCTTGGAATTTATTGGAAATGTTTAATCTTCTTTGTGTGACACACGTTAACTTTCCGATCTTAGTATTGCTATATAGAATGCATTTACCATTGGTAAAAAGAACCAAAACCGAAACGTCTAAACGTATCGCCTCAGTGTTAAAAATCGCATGCGTAATCTCTAGGCTAATACTCTTTGGTAATGAGTTCATTTCTTATAATAGCTGACAAGGATGGAAGAAATATACCTTCACTAGCGGCTATTGCGCTCTCTATCCGATCTAAGGGTGAGTGGATTTAGTATAAAACTAAAAAATTCATAGATTCTATACAAAATGCACATCTTAATTGTAGTATGTTAGTTCTAGGTAAAAGTTTACTATGGTAGTTCTTTGGCTTACATGTAGGGTAAGATTCATAGTCAAGATTAGCACTAAGTACGACTCTATATGACAAATCCAATGCGTTATTTAAAGTCTTGACTTTAAATATTACCCTCAAAGAATGTGCAAAGTAAGTCTTCAGTCATAATATAGGACTTTGATTGAAAACTTAGTTCGCGCTTCGACTTGTTTGTTACTTAAGCTTTGCCTAAGCATGGTCATCTGCCACTTAAAATATTATAATTTTGCCGTAATCTCACTTTAATCTGATACTGTAAGTAGTTATTTCACGCATTAATCTGTAATTAGTTCGTTGAACTATAAATGAGGAAATCTAGAGGTAGCGAATCAATATTTTACACTACTCATAAAGCAGATAATTATTAAATAGTTTATTGTAGATATAAAACTATAGACATCTAAAGACAATTGTCTAAATTATAGAGGTAATCTAAATGGTCAAGGGTCAGACATAGATCACGGGAAAGTGATGAAATGAAAGTGGTACGGTTTCGCATGACGCATCTCAAGACAATTATGTTTTGGTTATGATCGTTATTTAGATAGGAATATAATGATTTATTTTACAAACTTAAGACAAACTGATCGAGTTCCATGAGGCTTAACGGTATTAAACTAAGAATAAAAAGTTAATACATTTAAACAATTTACGATTCATACAATATTTAATTTATCATTGTTCGATAATATTAAAATAAATGTGGATAGTACAAGATGGGAAGATGAAATAAAACACGTTCTAGGCAAGGTTTGGTTAAGGGAGGAGCGTGTAAGGGCAGAATGATAGGGTCTTTTTTTATTTATTGTAATAGGAGGCAAACGGGCAGGCTCATCTGACGTTAAGTGATACCGCCGCCCATGGACACTCACGATGCCAGAAGGCTCGCAAGTGCGTTGCCGGCCTTTCAAGAATTGGTACGCTCTTTTCTTGAAGGATCCTAAGTCGAATTGGTTCGGAAATACTTCAGTGGGCTCAAAATGCTCAGTTGTGGGACGACGGACGTCGAGGTGATACGGATGGTATTCTTTCTGCCTATGTCGGGATCGGCCAAAGAAAAAGAAACTTGTCTGAAATAAAGGCTTAATGAATATTTAGAATTGTTCTACGCGTAAATAATTATGCCACTACTTACGAATTAAGATAACATTTAGAGAGAGGCAGAGAAGTATCATTAATGACTGATAAATTTTACTACAAAAATATCCATAAAAAATAAAAAAATAAAAATATATGGTATCCTAACTGCATTTTGATCAATGCCACACATTTTCTTCATTTTACGTATCAATAAAACAGTTCTAAAGATATCGATAGCACGCAATTCCCATTTCTCACTCGGTCACAATTTGTCAATTAGACACACGTAGTTTTTTGCACAATTATCATTTTTACGCTCTACATACAATCACGCACATTATGACTTTTATTTCATCAAGCTATGACATGCTCTTTTTACTACCTAATTAAGTTTTTACATTAAGATAAATAAAGGCACTGATTGTAGAAAGTTGCAATTGACATCTTTTTCAAGATGTTATGTCCGTGGTTATGTGTGAAAAGTATGTAGTTGATTTTGTCTGTTTAAACTGATTCTTAGATTCATAATTCTTAACAATAATAAAGCTTTTTTATTTTAATATCCTTAAGTTCCATTACAATGTTGATAGTGGTGATGCTAGTATTTACTTATAGCTAAATGTTAGTCGCCTTTAGATATTATAGACCCCTATTTGGCGCAGGCCTCCTCCAACCCTATCCAGATGTTTCTATCTTTGCCAAAAGTCTGCAGTCAAAAAGACATCCTTCTTCAGAATTAGCTTACTGACAAGTATGTGAGTAACTAATTCCTTACAAATTCGGTTGACCATAAGATTCTGAAGTATCTATATAGCTAAACATCACCCTGGGTAATTAAGGCACTTGTATGAAATTGAAATATAGGTTATTTTTATATAGGTCATGAGTATTATGTAGGTTCTTTTTTGAAAGGGAAGGTATTATTATAGAATGTTATTCTAATGACCTGAATACAGTTCAAACCCTAACCATTCATAGGAAATCGTTGACCTCCTTAGCGTTACGCTAACTACCGACTTTGTCCAGCCGACAGCCGTTGGTCAATTAACTAATTCATATCGTGACTGCAATGTATTGTTCTTTTATTTCAAAGGCGGCGCTAATTTTTATTGATTGCAATATTTTGACTTAAATATCTAGGTTGTTATGGCAATGTGGTAATTACACCCAAATAACATTTGAAACTGCATTAAATTCACTAAATACTTATTACATTGCTAAAGGACATTTAAAAATGACGGATTGCGTAGCTCTGATTATTTTAAATTAACAATTGACAATCAAGGAACATGATCCACAGAAAAAAAATTTCAAAGATTAGAAGAATTTGGAAGAAAGGCACCAGGAACAACTCCGCGATGAGTGGTCACCGCATAGCGCGATCAAAATGTAAAATCTCCTTGATAAGTGTTTTGCATTTTTGATTTTTCAGCTATCCAGGATAGTCGATGTTACTTAATGAATGGCGGTGCTGTAGAGAGCTTCTTCATCGGCGAAGATACACCCGTTGGTAGTATAATAGGTAACATCATAAACTTTTATTTATTTACTATCCGGACAAGAAAGAAAAGAGCTAACATTAGTACGACGTATTTTTTATACAACAACGTTTAAACAAACCCACCTGATGTTAAGTGATACCGCTATGGACACACACTCCCATAAGGCTCGCAAGTGCCAGCATTTTTAAAATTAGTACGCTTTTCTGCGTTTAAATTTATTGCTTAGAATATAAAGTCTAAGGGCAACGGGCAACGCTATTAATTAAGCTGTGCATCTTTTACTATAGCATAATTTTTTTAGATTAAAATTAAGTACATTTTGGCAGGCACATTAAGCGTAAATGGAGACCCGGAAGACGAGTCCGGGAATATATCCCTTAAGTTGCAAGAACGCGGGGCAGCGGTGGGTATCGCTCCTGGGACCAAGAACATCACGCTGCTCAGAGTTCTCGATCGGGAGGAAAAGTTGGGTCCCTCCAGCGTGTACGTCAACGTGCGCTGTGACAGGCGGCACACAGCTGATCCTGTGAGTACAGAGCAAGCGCCTTTTTGCAATGAATTGCAATTTTTACATTTCATGGATTCATTAAAAAAAATTAAGTAACAAGAAAAGTTACGAAATCAACTAAGTCATGCTATATAAATTTCGCTTAATAAAAACTATTAAAATAAATCAGGTTAATTATAGGTCTGGGCTTCAGATTTCTGTATCTGTTTCATGATCATTTGTCAATCTAATAGGAAAGTAGGTGATCAGCCTCCTAATCCTCCTCCTCCAGCAGTCATCGCAGCCATGGACACCCATTTTAGTGGGTGCGTTGCCGGCCTTTGGTGGAGGAGTATACTCTTTCTTAAACAATTGGAGGTCGTATCTCCCAGAGTAGACCCTCACCGGGAGTCGATTCCACAGCTCGCTATTTCGCAAAAGAAAGTATCTATATTAATGTAACGAATAAACTCAAAAACTCCTGGAACGAGTGGCCCAGATGAACCAATCACAATCAAACGAGCCACGTTATCTTTGGACTCATCAGACTAGAAACCCTTACGCTGGTATCTTTACAGAGTTTCGTGATACCTGTATCAGTACGGGTATGGGATGTGAATGATAACGCGCCAGTCTGGTCAGGAGCTCCCTATCGCGCTCGTGTGTCTGAGCTCAGCGCTGTTGGAGCCCGAGTTGCAGCCGCTACTGCCACAGATCCGGACCAACCAGGACCACATGCAACTGTCCATTACTCTGTGCTGCCGGGACCACACTCTGTAATTCAGATTCATTATCTAAAAAACATGTGTGTGTACTGATGTACACGCGATAGAAGTTATGTACCTCTTTAGCGTAACAAGATAAATATTTTATGTTTCGCCTTATTCTACGTTTGTAGAAAAAATACACTAAGAGAAAAAAGGTATTTAATACATTGAAAGTTTTATGATAACGCATTATCTAGTTAAATAAAGTTTTAAATATCACAAAAAATTATTTCTACATAATAAAAAGAAATGGAATTTTTTTATTTTGAAATGTTGACTATAGCTAACTTCAGCGTGTCGGATTTTTGTGACGGTGTGCGCGCGCATCGTAAAATTTACTCTCATAATTTTTCCTAACGCGCTAAAAGAAGTATAACTTCAAAAATAATTTAACTTGCATTAAATCTAGACGTTTTAAACTCTTCACAGCACTTATATAATTAGATAGTACATTTTTTGTAATCTCATATGACATATCCTTTCTCCATATATAAAAAGTATTTATTAATAATAATTTTATTTATTGCCAAAAACAGATAACAAACACATATCCCAGGCTCCTGCTGTTAGAATTGTATTTCAGGAGCCTGTAATTTCCCAGTTACGTAAATATAAATAAATAAATACCTTAATTATGAAACAAATAAAATTATTTTATGATAAGGTAATTAGTAAAGAATTGTTTTAATTTCATTTTGATTTTACCTCCTCCTACCTCCATCATTATATACTCGGAATACCCACATAGCTATCCTATATATGATAAAAAGCAATGAATAAGCAGAATCTTATTTATTGCGGTCAAAAAAGATCCAACCTTCCAAAATTAAAAAAAAATAATAATTTTCTATTAAAGTGGACTACAATATGGCCTTCCCCTATTCAAAGCCACTTAGAGCCAGTGACCCAGAATTTTTGGGAAGGTCCCAAAAATCGAGGGTCAAGTGAAGGATCGTCCCTTTCACTTGACCCTTTCAAAATATGACTCGTTTTGTCCATCTTCCATCTTGAAGCACAAGCCTAGGAAGTGCCATTTCGTGGTAGATAGTCCAAATAATATACTATAAAAATATTTTAGGAGTACATAAAGTTCCTTCACGAATTGGATAGTACGCTGGTCATCGCCAAGCCATTGGACTACGAGCGTGTTCACAATCTGACGTTGCATTTGAGGGCCAGAGACGCGGGAACCCCACCGCGATACAACGACACCACATTGTACGTGGAAGTGCTGGACGCGGATGACCAAAACCCCAAGTTTGAGCATGAGCACTATGTTGCTGTGATACCTGATGATGCTCAGGACGTGAGTATACATTTATGTCACATCTTGGGATACCCTAGCGTAATCTAACGGTTTCCAAGTTCTTTTGCTGAGTAATAATTATTACACAATGGGTAATATTTTTTCTGCCTGTCTGTCCACATCGTATCCCTCACTTTTTTACTAACTGATCTACTTGAAATTATCGTAATACCCTGTGCCCTTTTCTTATTCAAGTGCCCTTTTCATTTTCTCACCGTGGTTGCTTGGAAAAAATCGCTCGATAGCAATAAGACAGCCAGTTGCCCTCCTTTTTCTTTAATTATTTGAATTGTACTGTATTTTTGTATTACTGCAACGAAGTGTAAATAAAATAAATAACCAAACACACCTGGGGTTATAGGGGACGGAACTGGAGACGAATCCAGGGCCAATCAAAGCATGGGATCAGGATGAAGGCATCAACGCGCCTCTGGTGTTTTCCGCTTCTGGACCTGGTGCTGAAAGGCTGCGCGTAAGCCGAGACACTGGTCGTCTCGCTGCCACTGCTCTGCTGCTGGAAAACCTGCCTCTTACTGTTGTACTCAAGGTATGTCAAGGAGTTTAAGGAACTCCTGACAACGTTGTTGGTACGTCTATATACACGTCATCTCCGGGGACATGTGGCTACCCATCTTTAAATGCTGTACCGATTTTGATTAGGAATTATTTGCAAAATTTGTAAACATACAAACATTATTTTGATAAATAGATCAACGCGCTTATTATCCAATTCCATCAATATTACATACATACACGTCAAATTGTAAACATATTTGTTTGAAGTCGTTTAAAAAAGCCGGTAACACACTCGCTGCACCTCTGACGTTGAGAGTGTGCTTGAACTACGATATACCTTCAGCCGGCTTTAGTTCAAATTTATTTTACACACTTAAAAAAACATTATTACCCTTAATGTATCATAACTATTTAACTAATTAAAGCTTACAGGTAGGTTTCATAGATAACAAACTAACTGCTGGAAGCTTTGATTTAAAGATATAAATGTCCCTTATCAGTCAAAAACAAACACTTCAATGACAGAAGAGTTAGTTTACGCTAGCTACTCTCAGCGTAAGGCATAGTCTAAATTGAGCCCAATCGAATCTTTTTTTACTTGGGGCATTCCGTGCAACTCGTTAGTGCGGGAAGGTTATGTGGGTATCTCTTTTGCACCCACTATAACCCCAAGTCACCATACGCCCTAGTCACAGCTAGAAACAGCCCAAAATTGTTAGTTTGTGATGGTACGAGTACTTGACAAAGCAAGTATCCCAGACCGGACTGTTCGCTTTATATTAACTTAGTATCGTGAGGTGATTTACTTGTCTACATCGTATTAAAATAATAAACATTGAGAATTGTGCTGCAATTGCAGAATGCTTTAAGCGGATTATTGGCTCTGTATACGTTCCGTAAACATTTATTTAATAAAGATTATTGGATCAAATGGATTCCTATTGAAATCATAGATATATAGATAAAATTAACATTTATTTAATTAAAAGTAACGTTACAGTTACACATATCATTTCTAATATAATATGTCGCAGCCAAATACCTTAATAAGCCGTTCCATTAACAGCCTAGACTTTTAACTAACAGCCTGTAAGATATTCAGCTGTAGAGTTTGTAATAATATTTAATAAACTGGCTGGCTAATGCTTAGGCCATTCGTACGATAGAGTGACCATATAAAAATAAAAATATTTCTTTAAATTCCTTGAGGCAGTCACAATTAAATTCACATTATTATTGTCACTACACTCTTCCAATCTACTTCTTGTTTTTCATTAAACTTTGGAAAACACCATCAAAGTTGAGGTTTGCTGACACCATATTGACAGTTTGAATAGTTTCGTTTCGTGTTTGAGAATGCCAGAAAGTGAAACTAAATTTAAATGGCTAGGCAAGTAAGAAGAAACGTCATCGATTATGTTATTATCAAAATATACTAAGCCAAAACAGATTACATTGATAAACAAAATTTATGAAACAGAAAACATAAGTACATTAAAGAAAACTGAAATTAAAATTTAATATTTAAAGAAAAACTCAAACGTTACTAAAGTCTTGAATAGTTCATAAAAAATAGTTTTCGTTAAATTACTTTAAAAATTTGAGCCTGCTGAAATGTTATAGCAATTTTATTTTTATTTTTTTACTACAACTTACGTATATATCTGTCATATATACATATACAAAAGTTTTAGTAATGTATGTATCATCAATTTAGTATTGGCAAATTGATACCTGCATCATTGTGAATTTCTAAATTTATTTATTACTTTTAAACATATATAATTGCATAGGTTTATTATTATATTCATTCCTAACGATCCTACAAAAATCTAATGCCTAACTTTTGCCGAAAACCCCCGAAACATATAACTATATATTATTTCACATGATTCTATCAAAATATACCAAATTTGAACATTGTAGGCGATGCAAGTGGACAACCCAGACCGATACGCGTTAGCCACTGTATCTGTGCGACGAAGAGTGGGAAGGGGGGCTTCTGCAGCAGTTGAACTTGCACCCGGATCCAGTATGGTCACACCTGGAGTCACAGCTGCAGCTGAGCAGAAAGAGATAAAATTCACACGAAAAGAGTACGTCGCACGACTGCCAGAGGACGCGGCCGTGGGAACGTTGGTACTCACACTTAACACTTCCCCGCATACTGATGTAAGTATTACATTTAATGACTACTTTGATTTATGCCTTCTAGCAGTAGCATAGCTGGGCGTGTTTGAGCCCCAGCTCACGGTTTTGCTATCTTGAATTAAAATAACATTTATCTCTCTCCCTAAAATATGGCGAGGGGGCCGATGGCTGGCCATGCGTCATACTCGTGAACGGGTGCTACTTGTGGTGACTGGTCGTACTTGAATTCGTGTATGCGGTGATGTTAATTATTTCGACTATGTGTTTGCGTGTTGTTCCCACGAGAATGTAAGTGCGTGCTTCTATTTCACCGTGCCTCCTGCTGATAGAGGACAAGTCTTTGTTTTTAAGTTATATTATTATTATTAATTATTAAAGATGTCATGTGGAACATGGTGTAATAATTGCAGCTCCTTACAAACGTTGTGTAAAAAAAAACATGGCGATTAAAAAGAGTGGCGGAGAGTTTATTGCCAGTTCTTCTCTTCCGTTCTACGCCCTTGTTTGAGAACTGGCACTAAGTGTAAAGTTAAAAGCATTTCATATACATTTCTTTTTTTGACGATCATTAGTGTACATTGCGTTACCTATATGATTAAATGATTTTTGAATTTGAATAAATAAAAAAAATATCCAAAAAATATTAGCCACACTCGTTTCATGCAAAACAATGAAGATTATTATATTATGATTAAGAGACGATTTCAAAATTTCTTGAAGTAGTAAGTCCAGAATATCTCTCGTTTATTTTAAATGGTATATGGCTATTTGAATAAACTCCTTCTTCGGATTTCTTTTGAAGTCGGTTAAAAAGGGGCCTCCACGTCCAGTCCTCCTCGAGTCGACGCTAAGCTTTCAGTTGAAGTTATTTTAAATATAGGAGTAAAATTAATATTATTAGCTGTTAGTCTAATGAAAGCAATCGTAACTAGTGAACAGGGACGACGTAAGGACGGCAACTCACTCGCGAGCCCATTGGCATTGAGTGTCTATGGGCAGTGGTATCACTTAGCGTCAAGTGAGCCCCCTATGCAATAAAAAGAAAAAAACAGAACTGCAGCAATAAATATAATAAGATTGTATAGTTTAAACGCACTTTTTATTTATTTTATCTTAGTTATAATCTTACAAAATTTAAAAAAAGCATCTTAAAGCTATTGTTGAGTATCTTTAAGCACCGCTTGAGCAAGAAGGGCTAGTGAAAGTGTAGAGTTCGAGTTAAACGGAACGTGTCGTGTGTTTGTGATTGGACTAGACTATTGACACAATCCAGCGAAAAGCGCTGTTTTACATTTGTTACGGACAACGAACAATGTAGTTTAGAAAGCTGGTAAACGAAGGTGGCAGCCAGGTATTGGTCCCGGAAACAGCGTAACATAATATGTAGTTTAAGGCCTTAGTTTCAGTATTACTTTGTTAGAGATAGATTTACGCAACCGTGCCGGACTTACGTTGGTCATAAGCTTGCTTCGCTTTTTAATTTTGTTTGACCATCACTAACAATCGTCCAATAAATGGAACAACTCCACTTCGAGAGTACAGCGGTGGTTCATACGCTTATAACATTTTATACTTTAAATGTGCGATTTTTTTCGTAATCCAGCAGAAAAGCGCTTCGCGAATTTAAATATTAATTAATTTGCAGCGTCCCCTCCAGTTCTACGTATCAGAGCGCAGTTTCTTGGAGAAGTTCGCGATCAACTCTTTAGGCGAGGTGCTATTACGAAAGCCCTTGGACTACGAGACTGCTGCCACCTACTACTACCAAGTCATGGTGACAGATGGCGCTACTGTAAGTCACTTTATAGTAAACAGTTATTTTTTTGGGTGATGTCTAAAGATCCAAATGGATTTTACTATGCAAATGTTTTAGCTTAGTTTTGGACTTGTTTGTTTCTGGTCGGAAAGTATCTGTATATCTCCTATAGATTATATATTTTTTAAACTGCGTTAGTTAGCTCCGAAATGTAATGTGATTCAAGGCAAAAAAAAAATGTTTTGAATTTATTGAAGTCTAGTAAAAGTCATCTCCTAACAACTCTATGTACGACCTGCAAACCAAAATTGCAAAAACATGGCGTTAGGTCTTCGCCTATTACGATCTGTTTCTTGATCCTTTTTTTCATTAGTAGACTTTCTTAATGCCAGAAATGTCGATTTTTGAGTCATCAACAACAATCAAGGCACGTTTTCTCACGATGGGTCTGAGAATTTCGGTAAATCATGACTGAAATTATACTGGAAGTGATCCAAAAAAAGTCTATCCACTAAAAATCCACACAAATCTAGTTACTTACTTACCAACACTTACAGAACGATACAGCATCATTAAACATAACCGTAGACAATGTGAATGAGTGGGAGCCGCGATTCCGGTATCCCCTCTACGAGTTCCGCGCTGATTTGGACTCGGGGCAAGATGGAGGTAATGGCCAAAGTGGGGCAAGCGCGGGGCTCATCAAAGTGGGGCAGTTAGACGTATACGATGGTGATGCTCAAGATAGTGTTACACTGACTTTAAGAGGACTTCATGCACCGTGAGTATTTCTTGGTCAGATTTTAGGTGGAGACAATTAGCGCGTGATTTGTAAATTAAATGTTCGTTCCCATACTCCTCCCAAACGGCTCGACCGATTCTTATGAATTACATAACGGAACTTTTTTATTCTCCGTTGAGTGAATTCAAAAAGTATTATTTGTTAGTGCCTATAGTTAGGTAATTTTTTGTATTTTTTTGTATCTGGTTGATTGAATAAATGCTTACCTGTTGGGACAGGATTGTGATATTGACAGGATTTTTTTATAAATAAATAAATAATCTCAAAATATTGATTTTATTTATTTACTAGCAGACTCGGCCAAGCGTTGCAGTGGCAAGTTTTTTGTTATATTACATAGTAGTGAACTATTCAAGGGAAACGGTAGGAGAACACCAGTCATGGGGACCACCATGCTTTTGTTGGTGGCTATGCCATGAAATTGTAGTTTATGTGAAACGTTGGTACTTTCAAGTTCAACACAGCGCCATCTGTTAGAATTGTGTCAAATAATAAACAAATAATCAAACTGCACACGGTGTGCAAGTTTAATTTAAAATCTGTTAAGTAGTTTAGGAGTCCATCGCGGACAAACTACGTGACACGTGATTTATATATATTAAGATTTATAAAAAACACAATTCTGTCCTAACGCACGAAACAAAAAACAACTATAAGAAATTATTAAGTAAAACAAAACTGCATAATAAAATCATTAGGTTTTTCTACGTGAACGCGGCGGGTGAGTTGTTCCTGCGTGGTGAGGCGGTGGCGTCACTCAACACTACGGTGCTGCATCTAGTGGCCACCGCACACGATTCCGGCGCACCGCCAAGACAGGTATGATTGATAGACTAGAGAGGCCGGCAACGCACCAGCCTCCTGGTGTATCACCTCGTCGTCCGTCGTTCCACATCTGAGCGTTTTTAAGGCAGTTTTTGCCGCGCACCATGTGGAACTAGCTGCCCACTGAAGTATTTCTAAACCAAATCTACTCAGGGTCCTTCAATAAGAGCCTGCCAATTGTTAAAAGGCCGGCAACGCACTTGCGAGCTTTCTGGCAATGTGAGTGTCCATTCTCATTTAACATTAGATGAGCCTCTTGCTCGTTTGCCCCCTTAGATTGTTTATCTAGTATTATAATAACTAGTCTTTATTAATAAAAGTGGATCAAAATATCATTTATGAATGGAAATAACATCGTAACCAAGTTAACATTAATAACTTAAACCTGCATTTAATAATAGGCCGTTATTTATCAATTAATAAAAATTCCATTCTATAAACAATTTTCACGTCAAATTTTATGTTATCAAAAAAAAAATCCTTCATCGGTTTGATTTTCGGGAAAAAAATATTTAAAAATATAACAGATGGGCTGAAAAGGTCGTAGGCGAACGTAGAAATTTTTTATTTTTGATAGAATTCAATTTGATTATTCAACAGCACCTTCGAGAGCGATACCACGATTTTAGCGGTCGTTATTTTTCGATACCATTTTGTCTTTAGACTCAAAATAGACTTCAGTTTCGGCGATTACCTCTTCATCAGCGCAAAATTCAGCGAGCGAGCATTCTCTTGAGGTCTGAGAACAGGGAAATCTCGATGTGAGGCGGTATTACGATCGAACAAACATAGTTTTTTAAACAAACAAAAGTTCCCTCCACGAAACTATATCTATATCTATACTATATCTCACAAACTTATACACGGTCAAATTTATTATGTCATTTGAAGGTTAACTAAAATTCATATTAATTTAATACCAGTAGCGCCATCTATGTGTCAGCCTACGAACTTTTCATATAAGTTACCAATTTATTCGAACTTTTATTCCCTGACTCATTTAATGCTTCCAGAGTTCGGTCCCAGTAGCAGTACACGTAAGTGGTGCGGGTCTGGGTGCGGAAGTGACGTCAGCAAGTGCCAGTGGTGTCTTGGCTACTTTTGTTGTGGCGTTGGTGCTTCTGGCTTTGGCTGTGTGTGCACTACTAATATATATTTGTACAGTGTAAGTTTCTTATCGTAAAGTTCTAAAGGTTACTAGATTTCTTTTTATATAAATTATTAACAAAAAAAGTTGAATATATGTAAAAAACCGTCTCCTTTAAGGAGTTTCAAATCAGTTCAAATCAATAACTAGCGGACCCGACAAACGTAAAAAAAATGATCTAATTGTAAATGTAAATTGCTCGAATCCACTTGAACACTCGAAAAATTTCATCAAAATCGGCCTAGCCGTTAAGGAGTTTATTTACAAACGCACAGAAGATTTATAATTAAAGATTTGTTTAATAAAATAATTTTTTAAATTTAATTTTTCTTTTTTTTTCTCTAAACGTCCCCCTTATTTAGTTGGTTTATTTTTTTTAAGAATATTATTTTTTAATTCACGATATTTCTAGCCGTCGCCGTAGCCCCAAAGGTGGTCCCGAAACGACAGACAAGCTAAGTAGCGGAGTAGTAGCGGCTACTAGCGGATCTTTACAGAGCGTGTCGGCGGGCGCCACTACTATACTCGATTCCACCTCCAGCCTTGATATACGGCAAGAGCAGAATAGTATGTATAATCTATTATGTGTGTATGTATGTATTATGCAGTCTAAGGAAGATATTGGGGATGTTTTTTAATAAAAAAATAGATAAAATTAAAAAAAAATAACTGTCCAAAATGTTTTATGTTGCCTTAATTTATAAAAGTCTACCAATTCTTAAAAGGCCGGCAACGCACTTGCGACCCCACTGTCATTGAAAGTATCCAAGTATCACTTATCATCAGATCAGCCTACTAAAAAAATATTTCTTTATTGGACTATTTTTACCACTTTTAATTATCCTTTGTCCAGACGTAAAACACTCACAGCGCGGGCCAGGTAAAAGTAAGGTGGCCCCATCTCCACCTGAAGCGATAAGTGGAGCGGAACGGACAGCGGGAGCGGGAGCGGCGCTTATGAGCGATCACATAGCGGGCGCGGCGGGACGATCGGGCGTCGCCTGGCCTAGTACGGTAATTCCTGCACGCGTTAAGAAGCTTAGCTGGGACGATAACCGTCACACGGTTAGTGTACCTCTATTGCTTACACTAATTAGCTAAAGTATGCTTTTATAAATATTTTAATAAATATATTAATAATAATAAAAATATAAAATTAAAAAAAAAGTATTTCGAACACCTAAAAAAAAGATTTATTTTATTCACTTCTAGTACTAGTAAATTAAATACAAAAAAAATTAATTACGTACAAGTAACACTGAAATACAATTACCAAACACAATCTAAAATAAAATAATAATATTAAATAATCTTACGGTTCTTAAATCACAATTTGCAAAGCAACAGAAAAGAATAAGACGATTGAGCAATAGGATATGGTTAAGAAGCATTAATATTTAACAAACAAATAATTAAAATATAAATTTATTATAATTAATTGTGATTTTAGGCTACTAGACTTAGGCTTTGTTTTATAAGCATAATGAATGAATTAATGTCATGTTTAATAAGTGTAGGTACTTGATATTCTATACTCAGTACTTTATGTATGTTTCTATATTTATGACGTGACAACGTTTAATAAATCGATGAAATCCGGCTGCACGCACGAATACCATGACTCATTGTCCCGTTAATCTCATTGTCCCGTTACGCTCACTGTCCGCATGCACCGCGTCTATCTCTGTTCCACTCGAAGACTTAAGTCACATCAATGTTTTGTTATGACGGTCGTCCGTAAACCGACTTTACAGACAACCATTTTTTTAATTATTTAATATTACTTAGCATTATACATTATAATTAACGAATTTAATGCAGTTTTTACTGTTGATTTTATCAATTTTTATTTTTTTTAAATATTCTTAGGAAGCAAACGAGCGTGACTCCGTAGCGGAAGCGACAAATCCAGCACTCGCTGAACATATGAATCTCACCGTCTACTTCTGAAAAGTGTATATATAAAGCTGTTTTCCAATATATTATATCAAATTTATACTAATGGTCAAGAATATGACGAGTATTGTACTAGAACTGGTGAAGTGTTAATAAAACACGTACGACTGTATAAAAAAGAAGTTATTTATGAAAGGAAGTTCTATGACCACCATTTAAACATTCATGTGTTTCGTTATAGAACCAAATAAGTTTATGGTCAAATTTTTTATTCATAATAAAAGTAATTTTTCCACTGGCAATAAATATTGTTATTTTTAATTGCAAGTTGAAATCAACTATTACTATTGAAATTCTTAGAACGTCAAACAAACTTTTTCTGTTTGAGACTGCGACTAGATATAAATAAAATATTGTCCTTTTGTAAAGTATCGTAACGTCAAACTGTTCGATATACACGATACGAGGAAACTGGTACTCACTGATACGACGAAACTTACTCACTGATACGACGTCACTCGTCACTGAATATGGCGTCTTTTAGGAGTGTACCTATACGTCAGAATTTCTTAACTGTATTCCATTTACTATTTTAGAACGGGTAATGTTGTTACAAATATACTTAATGATAATTAGGTATAAATTATGCCTAAAATTGTTCGTTTTTATATTATAATTTATTGTATATTACATATCGTCTATTAAGTAGGTTAAGAAAAAATGTGATTTTTAAAATAAATTGTTATGTTTGTTGTATGCATTTTATTTAATGTCCTGTAACAGTTCCTCCGTTCAAGAGCAGTGGAACCACATAAAAGCTTTTTTTAAAGGGAATCTCGCTGTTAAGTAGGGATGTGAAAAAATAATCGATTATTAAAAAAATCGATTTTTTTACGCGATTTTTGTATTTGAAATAATCGATTAATAATCGATTATTTTTATAATTGAAAATTAATCATGGCCTTTTATAACCCGGACCTCGAACGATTAGGGATATTCGATATACAACGATGTTTACAATGCGATACATTGAATCCGATTCTTTGAAGATGTATTGATATACTCGATGCATTGATGTTTTTTTGTAAAACATCGAAAGGATGATAAAACCAGTTAATTTTACAAAAACTCAAGTTTGAATGGAACACTATAATTTAAAAGTAAAAAAATTTATTCAGCAGCACAAGACTACATACAATTAAAAAGACAACAAAAATACTGCAATGTGCTACTGAAAAGGCATACACTCAGCATTTATCAAATTTCACCTAAAGTCTATCAAAACGAGAATAAGTTAATTTCGATTTTGATTATTCTTAAAAGTTAATTTGTGTTTATAATTTCTATTGTTTATTTTTAATTAAAAAAACCATGAAAAATAAAATATTTAGGGTGTTTATTTTGAAATTAATTCAAAAATTAGGAAAAAATCGATTATTAAAAAAAAACGATTATTTGTTTAAGAAAATTCGATTATATCGATTTTTCATGCTAAAAAAATAATCACATCCCTATGTTAAGGGTCGTCGGCCGGAAAGGGCTTGGCGTCTGCTCACCTCCTGCGAGACACGGACCTCAGCCTGGGCGGCAGCAGGGACTGTAGGGAGCTATAGGGCAGGCCGGTGAAGGCGGGGTTTACCCTAATCTAACTGCCCCAATAGTTGGGGTCGAGAAGTTTTATATATCCTTAGTCTGAATTACTTCGTTAGCGCGTTTCAGGGCATGACGTCACCACAATGATTTGTATACTTGATGTCGCTACAAGCTAGTTTCACACAATTTGGCGATACAGATTACTTTCTTTCATTTCATACTCACTGATTAGACCGTAAAGGCATTATAGAAACAACTAACGGACTGATGATAAATATTATAATAATTAAAGAGCTTAAATACAAAGGAATAGATTACAGACTAGTTTTTGCCCATCCAAGTCTCATTTACTATGATTTCTTTTATATTTAATTATATTTATAAATAACAGTACCTGAGTACGAACTGAATTGCCTTAATTTATTTAACGACTGATTTAAGAAAGCATATTATGGCAGAGACAAACCATTTGAATAAAGCAATTATTTTGTAAGTGCTTGTATGGTACACTTTAGTCAACAACTTTTTTTTTAAAGTTCATGCTATGTATGTTTAACTCTCTCTCTCTCACAACTTTTATGCATTGTGTTTTTAATAATATTAGAACCTTGCGCATGTTGCTAACAACACGGAAAAATATAGATATCTTTAAAAAAAATAGTAGCTTCCATAATTATAGTACTCGTAATAAAGACAAAATCAGCGCACCAACCAGAAGGCTGCATAAAACGAGTAATTCTTTCCAAGGCAATTGTATACGTTTTTTCAACAAAATCCCTAGTGAGATACAAGCGTTGTCAATAAATAAATTTAAATCGTACATTAAAGTAAAACTGCTTGCTAAGGCTTATTATAATATAAATGAATATTTAAACGATCCTAGTGCTTGGATATGAGTTGCTCCAGTATATATTATAGGTAACACGACTGAATCTCTCGGCTGCATTTCCAGACTCAGGGACGATCGTCAACATCCACGACTGTTTTAATGTAAAGTGGGAACAAACCGTGATCCATGTGGTATCCAATTATTTCAGTATTATTATTATTTTCTTATGTAGCTAAGTCCACATTTCAAGGATCGTCATGCTCGCTTAAATGTCATTGCTTGTGGCGGCGTCCATGCGTCGGGTTGTCTCTCTCCCTAAAATATGGCGAGGGGGCCGATGGCTGGCCATGCGTCATACTCGTGAACGGGTGCTACTTGTGGGTGACTGGTCGTACTTGAATTCGTGTATGCGGTGATGTTAATTATTTCGACTATGTGTTTGCGTGTTGTTCCCACGAGAATGTAAGTGCGTGCTCCTATTTCACCATGCCTCCTGCTGATAGGGGACAAGTCTTTGTTTTTATTTATGTTATTATTATTAATTACTTAAAATGTCATGTGGAACATGGTGTAATGGTTGCAGCTCCTTACAAACGTTGTGTAAAAAAAAAAAAAAACATGGCGATTAAAAAGAGTGGCGGAGAGTTTATTGCCAGTTCTTCTCTCCCGTTCTACGCCCTTGATTTGAGAACTGGCAGTAAATGTAAAATTAGAAGCATTAATACTTATTTCTTTAATGACGAATCACAAGTGTACATTGTGTTACCTACGTGAATAAATGATTTTTGAATTTGAAATTTGAACACCTCCGTGACTAGGTGGTCTGCGAAATTAGCTTATAACTCTGGGTTCTAAAAATGTTTATAATATAAAAGTTTCGGTTTGATAGGCATGTTTGAGCAGTGTGACAAGAATACGAAATAGAATATACAAAACAACCGTGGATGGCGTCGGGTTGGGTTGGCCTTATAGTACAGGCAGTCCTCGACTTACGTCGTTTCGATTCACGTCGCGTACTTCGAAAACCTAAAATCCAAGACGTACTAGCAAAGGGACAAGTTAAAAGTACCCATAACCAGGAAGCATGCACGGTGAATGTCAGAAAGTAGATGTAGCCAGAAAGCTATGTCAGGACCGTATTAAGTGGAGATCCACGGTCTGAAAAAGGCATGATCAATAAATAAATAAATCAACGAAGTCGACACAAATGTACCATTTCCCCAGTGGGGATTACGTAGATTGAACAAGGCAGACATTGAATAATAATAAATATTTTTTATCAATTTACTAAAATTATATATAAACAATTACTAAAAATGTATCAAGAGATAGAATACATAATATTAATCTACAAAAAGGTTTAAAAATGTACAAAAGAGAACAAACAATAAAAATTATTCAATACATGAAACTAAGTAATAAGTACATAGTTTGGCTATGTTGTGTGACGGTGTAAAAGTGAAGGTGTGTATGTGGGGTATGCTCATGATGGAGGTGATTTTGCGCTATGGATATTCTTAATACTCCTTTGAACCATATTCTTCAACAAGTCAAGGCTCAAATATTGGTCGTTGTACGGGCTGCGGGATACAAAACTGAGTTTTTTGACTGATTCATCATATAATCGGAAAATTTTATTTGCTGCCACGGATATTTCAGTTGCGAGATAAAGTAATAAAGAATGCCTCAAAATTTACATAACACGGCGGTGTGGGGATGGTTAAGTGAGGAGTGTGGGGCTTAGCACAGAACAGTCGCGAGTTCTAACTACAAGAGTTGATACTGCTTCCTACTGTGTGATATTTACGTGTTAAGTTAGATATTTAACAAAGGGGTAAGTTACTTATGGAGATTAACTTATTTCTTCAATTACTGACGCAAACAACTTATAATTTATGAATTATAAGTTATTTATTTAGAGGATTACAATCTTAGTTGGGTTTAATTCGATAACAATTTAGTCAATTAAGGATGTTTACTTCCTAGACATTTTACCTACCTAATCCCTAAAATCGCGGTCTCTATTCTGTGAATTACGAAAATTTGGGTTATTAACATTTGCTTATTCAATTGTCTATATATTAGATCAAAAAAAATTGCCGGGTTTTACTGACGTTGTTTAGATGGTTTACAATGATTGTTAGAAAGATTTTAAGATGGCTTCAAAGTTTAAATTACCTGGCGCAATAATAAGCAATAAATGTATTTAGAAAATTTATTAACGTTAATTCTGAACAATTCTCAACCTATACATTGTAATAATAATAATTAATGATGAATTAATAGAAAATTAAATCAAATTTAAAAAGTATTAAAAAGTTAAGACCATGTAGTATAGAAATATATAAATATTATTCGTAGTAATATTTTTATTTAATTGTTTGTAGCGACACAGATATTTTATTTTTTATTAATGTATCAGAAGTTATATATCTAATTTCATATTTTAGTTTGGAATGCAAAAATTTTCCTCATAAAAAAATGCGGTTTCTTACGGATTGTAGGAAACATTTAACCTATTTTGTAACTCGATTAGCAAAAGAAAACAGCGAGGTTTATGAATCAACTTTCATATGAAGCCGGTAGCGCAAGGCGAGCCGCGAGGCGGATCTCGTGAAATCCGGCACTTTCTCTGATTATGCAACCTCCGGGCCCTGACCTCGCCTGACCTTAGACGTGATTCACATTCTGACATAAACATTACTTAATTCTTGTCATCGATATTACTATTGCTACTCAGTTCTACATGAACTACCACTACCACAGTACCACTACTAGAAGACCATTCTGGTTTATGGAATACAACAAAGATACAAATAAAATAATATTTTTTATTGATTCATCATCAGACATCAGGTCCGCTATAATATGTATATGTTAGCTGTACGAAATAAATAAATAAAGATTCTTCCCGCTATGTGTAGGCTTATTAACGAAAACGATTTTATTTTGTAATAACGGATAAATAAGCATAGTAGAGGCGTAGTATACTGAAAATATAATATACACTTCATAAATGTTTCGGTTTCTAGTACATAATTTAACCAAGGCCTACCCGTCTATCACCCATTAATAATAATAATTAAGCCCGTTTATTTCCAATCTTTTCAAATGTACAGTTTAGATTTGATACATATTGTTTTTCTTGTTATGCTAATATCCTAACTTCAGTAACATTGGTTCCCCCTTCATAGGTAAAGGGCCTCCTCCAGCTATTTCCAAATATCTCTATATCCATGGCTTTCTTTCTCCATTCGTTTCCTGCGAACTCTTCTAATTATTTATCCACCTTTTTTAGCCCGCCCTCTTCTCCTTCCTCTTGGTAATAATTTTGTATGGTATTTTAACATTACGTAATTGTAGACAGGTTTACAGCGTAATTTTTATCGTAATTGACTTGCGTTTTGTCTCATTACAGTGTATTTACTATATTATGTTTTCTACGCGCATGCTTGAAAGGGTTCAAAGCAAAGCCACGAAAATGATCAGGTCACTGAGGAAGAAATCTTATTATCAGCATCTGAAAGCACTTGACCTTACTGATTTAGGAAGTAGGAGATTAAGAGGAAATCTTATTGAAACCTATAAAATCCTCACTGGCCACTCACAGCTCTTTATTTTAAGTGAAAATACATATTTGCGGGGTAGTTCTTTAAAACTTAAGACCACTCAACATAACACAAATTCCCTAAAGAACTTTCTCCCAAACCGAGTGGAATAGGCTTCCGGAAAGTGTAATCAGTGCACCATCTCTGAACTCCTTTAAAAATAGATTGGATAGTTTCTCCAAATCTCAAAATACGCGCTAATCAGCTTATTAAGCTTCTAGTGTGTTTATATACATAGGTAATAATAATAATATATATAAGACATTCTAACACGTTTTGTAGTACAAGAAAATCTCGTAGTTATTTTTTTTTCACATGTTTATTATGGTTATTATAAACGTCGCGTATATCATGTTCGCATGCTTAAAAATGACAATAACGGAAGAGAAAGTGTTCACGCCTATACCAAATGATACGTAAATTCAAATAATAAACGCAAGTGGCACATTCATCGTAAACAATATTATGTAGTTGCAATAATGTTGTAATAAAGACGTGTGTTGAATCGCTAATTTGTGCCCGCATTACATTTTTAGAACTTATGTAGGTCATTATGTAATGAGAACACTATTTATGTTAGTTCTGAGAATCAACTGGATTTATTTTATAGTTTCGAAGGAAATCAATAATAACGTACTTTAAGATAACTAAGTATTTCGTCAGCGAGATAACCCAACATTTGCGAAGTAAATTAGTTTCCCAGTTACATATGTAGATGTTTTATTTAAATGGGTTGTACTTGCGTATAGCAAGCACAATATTATTCATAAAATTCAAAAATTGAAAATTCAAAAATCATTTATTCATATAGGTAACAAAATGTACACTTATGATCATCAAAAAATAAATATGTATATACTATAAAATGCTTCTAATTTTACATTTTCTGCCAGCTTTCAAATCAAGGACGTAGAACGGAAGAGAAGAACTGGCAATAAACTCTCCGCCACTCTTTCTAATCGCCAAGTTTTTTGGTTAACACAATGTTTGTAAGGAGCTGCAACCATTACACCATGTTCCACATGACATTTTAAGTATTAATAATAATAAAATAAATTAAAAACAAAGTCAGCAGGAGGCATGGTGAAATAGGAACACGCACTTACATTCTCGTGGGAACAACAAGCAAATACATAGTCGAAATAACTAACATCACCATCATACACGAATTCAAATCCGACCAGTCACCACAAGTAGCACCCGTTCACGAGTATGACTGGTAAATTACACTTATTCCTCTGACTCTGCGACCCAAAAAGTGGTTTCCAAAATGAGAACCTTCCAGCGCTCGCTGTTCTGTGCCACCTTCCGCTAATTTCTGGCTTTCAGCTACCCTAGACTAGGTACCTAGTCCGACCTACTGGTTTCCGACCACTACTATTTTTGTATCCTCTATTTCAGAAAAAATAAACTTACACTTATTTTTCGTTAGCATATCGAAAATGATTTGTCTAAATATTTTTATTTTTATTAACTTTCAGAGATGTGGTCAGTCAGCGCGTTATTATGTCTGTTAGTTGCTGGCTGTGTGAATTCAGAGAACAGCACGCTCATAGATGAAGATGTATGCGAGGTTGAAGGACCCTTTAGCCTGCTGCTGGAGGAGTGGGCCACTTCGGAGCCGGCAACCCAGAGACAAGGTAGCCTTTAAAATAACAAAACATTATTCTAAGAAAAATACATTTTTATTAGTAATCATAACAATCAAGTATAAAGTTTTTTCTTAACCTACAAAGTTTTATATAAAATGATTAAAAATTTCTAAAAAGAAAATTAAAACTACATTATAAACTCTTTATAACGAATTTCAAGGGACAGAGCCTTTTTATTCGATATAGAGAAGTTTCATTATAGGGAGGGAAGAATTAATGTATGGGTATTGGGTTAAACCAAATAAATTTAACGCATTTTTACGTTATAGAGACTTGTTCGTTATAAAGACTCACATTAGAAAGAGTTTACACTGTAATTCAAAAAATAAGTATTCTAAGATAATATAGTTTTAAAAGTTCCACCTCATCCATGCTCTATCTTGCTCAGAAGAGATCTTTCAAATAAAACGCCATTATAGGTCGTGTGATGGCTCTGCCGCCGACAAAAGGCTACTACGTCACAGAAAGAATTGACGGACCCCTAATGCCCCCTCCACTACCACCTGGCCCACAAACACACCACAATTCTGGAAGACCAATACCGCTTCAACCCAATTCTCCGTACAACAGTGCACCCCCACAGGGGTACAAAGGACCCTATGGTTACAAAGAGTGGGACACCTCTCCGCCGGCCAATGGAAAAATTGTCAACAAGCCTCCTTATAAAGACAAATTTAGACCGAGCTATGTAAGTATTTACCTATATTTTATTTATATCTTCACGCCTTTTTCCCCGAAGGGGCAGGCAGAGACCATGGATCTCCACTTGCTACGGTCCTGATATACCTCACTTCACTTCACTTCACTTTATTTATAATGGCGACATCTGTGTAAATCACAATTCCGCCAATGTCACGTTCTAAGTCTTCACACAGTGAGGATAGATTTGATAATTTTGATAGATTGAATTTTATCTAAGCAGAGTTACCCAAAACAAAAATGACATCACAATAAATACAACACACACAGACATCTAATAATATATACAAGAGGTTAACATTTTACTACAAGGTATGGAGGGGAGAATCTTATTTATAACTTTAATTTATTAACAGAAATAAATTTCCCTAAAATTTTGACGATCGAGCTGGATGGGAGGGAAAGTAGGGAGTTGAGGTTACATGGACGAGGGAAATCTGGAGAAAGATGGTCAAATAACGAGTCATTAATTAAAGAACAGTTAAAAAAATATATGGTCTGTCGAGCCCTCGTCCATACCACACTCACAGAGAGAACTGTCTTTAATTTTAATTTTGGCTAGATGAACGGGAGTACAAGCGTGCCCTATACGAAGACGGCAGATTATAGACGTGACCTTTTTGTTTAAAAACTTATATTTAAAAAACCACGGCGAAGAAGGGATTGAAAACTGAATATTAGCATAGTGCCTGCCAGTTTTTACTTTAGAAGATTGCCAATCAATAGTCCAGGATTTTAAAAGGTGGGAGTACGCAAGAGCTGATAGGTCGTGGGCCGAGATGTTGGGATGCTGACAAGATCCGCAGAAAATAGCACCTTTTGCACAAAAGTCAGCAGTTTCATTACCCGCTATACCACAATGACTAGGTATCCACAAAAGTACAATATGAATATCTTTTTTACTACACCTAAACAAAGCTTCTCTTATTTTTAGAATCGTATTATGTTTTTTTTTTAGACCTGAATGGATTGGAAAGAATTGCCTGTAAACAGCTGCGAGAATCGGAAAAAATTGTAACTTTATTTAGGTTGTGGGACTCAGCATACAAAACCGCTTCTAGGATTGCAAAAGCTTCACCTGAAAAAACGGAGGTCAATGGAGGAAGTTTAAAGCTCAATACTGTTTTGAATGAAGGGACCCATACAGCCGCACCGATGCACTCATTATTGGGAATCTTGGAAGCATCAGTATACATCGGTAACCAACCCTGCCAGTCATTTGAAAGCCAGCCAGTGATTTCCAGAAAACAAGTGGAAGCTTGGGTAGATTTTTTTTCAATTCCAAAGTTTAAAATTATTTTAGGATCAAAAATGAGGGATTCATAACTATTTAAAAACAAGGGGTTACTAGGGAAACTTTCAACAGGATTAGGAAGACGAGAAAGTTTATTAAAACTGTGTAACAGGCATGGAACATTATCTGTACTAGATGGCATCGTGAGATTAGATAAGCGACGTAATTTGGACAAGATGGAATGTGAAGAGAATTGAAGGACTTTGATGAAGAAGCGGTCACTTAAAAATTGTCTACGTAAATACAGGGGGGGGTCAACACATTCTATTTGAAGAGCATTGATGGGAGAGGATATCATAGCACCAAGGATGATGCGTAAAGATTTCGATTGAATTTTGGAAATTTTATCAAGGGCTTGCTTGTTGCCAGGATCTAAAAGGAAGGTGCCATAATCAAAATGACTTCGTACCACAGCATTGTATAAAAGCTTTTGCGAGTAGGGGTGTGCTCCCCACCTCACACCAGATAATGAACGGAGAACATTAACACCCTTCTCACTTTTTTTAATCACATGGTTAAAATGAGGAACACCGTTTAACTTTGAGTCTAAAATAAGGCCTAAAAATTTTACTTGCTTACAACACAATACCAAGGACCCTTTATATGAAATGTTACACCGTGGAACCTTGTATTTTGTAGTAAACGTGACCGCCGAACATTTGGGCACAGAAATAGAGAGACCATGATCATTTAACCAATCACCCAAATAATCCAAAGCCGAATTTAGGCGTGATGATGCCTCTTCAATAGAATTTGATGAAAAGTATAAGGCTACATCGTCCGCGTATTGAAGAATCTGACAGAAGGAATTCACAACAAGCTCCAGGTCATAGGTGTAAATGTTGTACAGAAGAGGACTCAAAACAGAACCTTGAGGTAAGCCCCTCCAAATAGATCTAGGAGACAGCTCCGTATTTTGAGATCTTATAATAATATAACGATTCGAAACTGCATTGCAAACAAAACGTACCAACTTCTCAGGAATACTCAGCTGAAGCATTTTTTGCCTGAGCACCGGAACCAGCACGTGGTCATACGCAGATGCGATATCCAAGAAAACACCCACCAGGAACTGTTTCTTTTTAAAAGCAATGCGAATGTCGGTCGTTATTATACTTAGGCTATCCATCGTACTTAAGCCTTTCCTGAAACCAAACTGGGATTTTGCAAAGATATTGTTACTTTCACAAAACCATTCTAAACGAATTTTAATCAAATGTTCCATAATTTTTAAAAGGGTAGAAGACAAAGCAATAGGTCTGTATGAAGAGAAATCTGATGGATCTTTGCCAGGTTTTAGAAGCGGAATGACGATTTGTCTGTTCCACGATTCAGGAATAATTCCAAGATCGAAAAAACAGTTTACTAAATCTAGAAAGTACCTCTTAAGAATTGAGGGAACAACGGAATCTTCTGATCTGCCTCCAAACAACAGACGAAGGGGTACCAGGGCACATGCTCTCACAGAACTTATGCCAACCAAGACGTTTCTTATTATTAAGAAGTCTGCGAGCAGCTGCAGAAGCTTGTTGGTAGACTAAAAAATTTTCCAAGGACATACAAAGACTGTATGACCTTTCTGCCGTTTTTCTTTTTCGAATCATCTCAGTACATTCGGAATCCCACCAAGGAGGAGAAATTTTCCTTTGTGTAGAAGATTTGAGTGGAATATGTAAACTGGCAGATGAGGTGAGGGAGTTGACAAAATCATTGTATGAAGATAGGCAGTTTTCAGCAGAAACTGCGGGGAGCGCAGCTATCTTAGAGTCAATAGAAGATGAAAAGTCTGACCAATTGGCCTGATTAAGTTTAAATTTTAAAAGAGGGGAAGGGCGAGTAACGCTCCTTAAATTGGTTGGGAGATCAATTAAAATGGGGAAGTGGTCACTCCCACAAGTGCTCTTAAAAACACGCCAGGATAGAAAAGGGAAAAGATCAGGAGAACAAAGTGATAAATCCACTGCGTTAGCGGGATTCTGAGATGGAAGACTCCTTCTCGTAGGACAACCATTATTCAAGACACTTATGTTTATATCATCGAGTAAATCTAGTAGAAGGGACCCAAAAGAATCTGAGGAATGACAACCCCAAGAAACATGGTGGGCATTGAAATCACCCAACATAACAACAGGAGGAGGAACCGAAAGGATAATAGAACGTATATCAGAAATGAGGTCGAAATGGGGGTGGGGAATATAAACAGAAATAAACGAGATATTAAAAGCTCTCATAGCAACAGCATTAATACCATCACAATGAGGAAGAGATAATGCGTGGAAGGTGAGGGATCGGCTGACCAAAAAGGCACAGCCAGCATAGCCATCATCCCTGTCATCTCGGAGACACCGGTACCCAGAAACCCTAAAGCGGGACTGATATACCTCTCCGGCTTCATCCACTTTTATGACATTAACCATGCATTCTCGTTGGTTATGGGTAGTTTTAATCGAATTCGGTCGACGACCAGTCACTTTCCGAACGGCGGAATACCATCCGTATCACCTTGACGTTCGTTCCACAACTGAGCGTTTCTTAAGCCAATTTTTGCCGCGCACTATCACTATGTGGAACCAGCTGCCCACTAAAGTATTTCCCAACCAATCCGACTAAAATACGCTTCTACATTTATTTGACTGGTAGTTCTTCTCATATTTTCCTTTTAAATAAATTTATGTAGATGTGTGTGGATGTATAAATTACCAATCCAAAATAAGGCATGTTAATTTGTAACTTCTTTCTAATTAGTCATGCTATTAGGTCCCATGTATAAAAACGTAGTTATTTCTGTTATATATTCTGTTCAATAGTTAATTTTTACGATAGCAACTATATCATTTATGATTTTAATTTAGCAGGCACCACCGTCTCCTCCAAGACCACAACAGCCCAACTCCATCGACCGAGTAGACGACCCACCCCGCAAGCAGGTCACAGAAACAGATTTGTTCTTACTAAGCGCCATCGAAAAACTCGTGTACCGTGCCGACCTAATGGAGAAACGCTTGAGGAAACTTGAAGAAACTTTGCACTATATTGTCGCTGGAAATGACCCTAAACCAGGTCAGTTAATCTTTAGTGCCTAGCAAAAAAATCCATTAAAATGTTGGTGCTGAATCAGGTATGATAAATCTATATTGGAAAGCTCCTTGAAAATACACACGAGGGTAAGATTTATTACATGTATAAACAAAATAAGGAATAGTTTTGTCTTTTGTTTTATGTTCCATAACATTTACAATCTTCGCTCATGCACTACATTCTATTTGTCTGTTACACGTACTAACATCGGGTTTCACGTCCCCGTACATAGAATGCGTTATTCCTATAACACTCCTTTCTTAAAAGTTGATATGTTTTTATGCTCCCTTACTGCTTTCAAGCGCTTTTTAAAATCGTTATAATTGTTTTGTCTTTAGTTTATGTACTATAAATTGCGTTGACATTTTGGTGCCCATTATTCTTATCTTTTTATTTTTGCTTGTGTTACTCTTACTTTTATTTAACAAAAATCTTATCTGTGAAACAATTTAAGAACACTTCTACAATTATAACTAAGTAGTATATATATATTTTTTAATAACTTTTATTTGAAATGTGTCTGTTACGTTTACTTATTTATAAATAAATAAATGAAAATTATGCACTCAATAATTTTCTAATATCATTACTGTGCATATTTTCCAGAACCCTGCGCCGGTAACTACAGTCGTGTAGGCGGTGTCTGTTACGAGTGGTCAACTGAGCCTGCGGACTGGAAAGGCGCCAGCATCGCCTGTCGGAAGCAAAAAGCTGCCTTGCTTGAACTGCAACAAGACGCTGATAAAAGGCAGCTACTCTCCAAACTACTTAGCGATAAGCAATTCAAAGGTATAACCATATATTGTTCTAAACTAAGATCAGCAAGCTTACCCTGTAACTGACGCCCTCAACAATAGAAGTATTATTATACAGACCAGTAAATATTTAAAGGTATTAATTTTTGAGTCAATCAAGTCTTCTGGTAAACTATTTTAGTTTTCCAGTTATAAATGTCAATGCTCTGCTCGGCAATATTAATACTTCATACTTTGATTTTCATACAAAAAAATTGTTAGAAAATCAAAGCAAATTCTTGACTCATACATTTTTACAGCGTATCTATAATAATTTATATTATACCTTATAACGTTTATCTTATAACAAAAATTAATAGTTTCTTCGTACAATTCAAGGCAAAGACTTCTGGACGGGTGGACTAAACCCTGGCTTACTTTGGATCTGGTCACACTCAGCTAAGCCAGTCGAGGCTTCCAACTCTAGCAGTATCGTTGGCGAGGGCCGCTGTCTGGCGCTCGTGTATGACCCGGCGATTAACAACTACGTATATCGTGGACAGGACTGCGCGCTGAAACATCGTTACATATGCCAAAAGGAAGAAGATAAAACCAAGCTAAGCAATGAGGTACAACGAGTCGCGAGGGAACTTCACGTAGATAGAACAAGAAAGTCCAAACTGCTTTGGGATGAATCGATGTAAAATTCTTTATTGTTTCAATTATTTCCAAAAGAATTTAGTAAAAATCTAAGCGTAAGGGCGCCGAATTTTCGACTTATTTAATATTGAATAAAGAAAATTATGTGAAACAATAATGAAAATTGTTGTGAAATTGTATTATGCTATATCTATTTTATGACTGTAAGGGAGCGTTGAAGTATTACGTCACGCAATTTTTGGAGATTAATGAAACCCCCCCATGTAACGCGCCGTGAAGTTTTTCTGTACCTACCCAAGCAAAACGTTTCGTGACCACCTAGTGACTCGTTATTCCTAAAATTTACCATTATGTGGTGTAAAGTACTGGAAAGTCGAAAATAATATTAACAATAACGCGTAATTCCATCCCCGCCCCGTATTGTAACTTTTTACAAAATGAAACCCCCCCCAAATTCGTTACGTAATACTTGAACGCTCCCTAAAGCAAATGTTTAGGTTTTCTCTAAATTCTATCGAAATTAAGCACGTAATTTACTATTTAGTACATATTTGCTACTTATCTTAGGTCCATATTTTAATTCGTATGTCAAGACACAAAGTTGTTTTGAGCGCTGTCAAATGTCAAACTTCGTACAGGAAAAATGGTTTGACAGCTTTATTTTCCCAATTTCAAGTTATTTATTAAGTGATTAGATATTTCTAATCAAGTCAAATCGGTGGTAACCTGTTACACTAAAACCACCAAATGTTAAATTAATTTTCGTAAATAAGACTAATTGGTTAGTTATTTGATTATATGTAAGACTGAAGTATTATTTATATTAATTTTATATTTATTATAAAAATTAATAAATGTGTTATTGAAACAGTTTTATTTTACTTCTTTTAAACTCCTTTACCTAATGTTTTCGTGCGTAATAATAATAATAATAGTGTGGTAAACCAAAATATTTCACGGTCGCTTCAATATTATTTTTTAATTCATATACGTATACCTGTCCTGCTTTTAAATATAAGAACCATTTATGAATAAACAAGTTCCGTCCCTTAAAGTACCATATCTTATACTTATCATTCAGGCAGTTCCACTCCAATTGTTGAGGGTTTCGGAAAAAACAATAAAACTAAAAAAATATCTCATAATCACTTATATTTCTAAATATTTACAATAACTTAAGACTCACAACAAAATAAATAATGTTGTCGACAGTTCGGACGCGGTCAAAATCACGTCACATAACATTCCGAGTTCAGAGTGGCAAAGTATAGGAAAAATACAAACTAATATTATGGCCCCACGGTTTAGTTCGAAAATTGAAAAACTAACGATAAAACGTTTAATTGTGATTGGTCAACAGAGTTTGTACAAAGGACCCGAGATACGATACGTCAATTGACCAATCACAGTCAGACGAAACGCACCACTATACAGTAATCACCCGGGGTAGATCCAGGCCGCGTTATAGGAAATCGCCTTGTAGGAGTATTCTCGTAACTGTTTTTTTTAACGTTAGTTATCGAGTTTAATTTCAAAAGAACTAAAATGAAACAAAGTACGCGTTCGAGTGCAAAAGTACGCAAAACTAATTATTATAAATTTCACACCACAGAAATATAACTTGAGAAATCTCCCTGTTATAGGGGACGGGGGGACGGGGACGTAATTCGCGTTATACGAAAACGCGTTATAGGGGGACTGTAAATCGTTGTCCATTCTCGCCCCCACCGATAATGTGTTATTGGTGAATCTAAGCAATTCAAATCACCGTGACCCCGTGACCACGCACGCTGTAAAGCACGCGAAACGTCGGATAAATTTAAAATTATGTCAAATAGTTGTAAATTTATAATAATAAACATAACTTTAATCCGGTAAAAAGCGTTTTTCTTTAAATTCAAATGAACTTCTAATAACGTTTACGTCCGTATTCGTCGGTACTGAAAATAAAACTGACTGAAATAATGACTTATTATGACTTTCTTTAGCGATCTAAAATGACTTTGTGCTAGAGCTCGCCGAACAAAAACGTGATACAAGAAACAATTATACAATTTGTATAAAACTGTCAAGATCTCACGTCTTAGATTTGTATAGACGCGGACCTCGTAATGCCCTTTAGTTATACCATAAGCTAGACTAAGTTCTAAAATATGAATATTTTATTGATGGGTCAGAAAACCCGACTTATGAGATTTTTCATACAAATAAATGGCTGTACACCTACTTATCTTAATTAATATTCACAAAATTACATAAAGTGTTAATAGTTTTGATCTTTAATAAAATATAGAAGCAATGTTTTTGGATTGTATTTTTGTGAGGCCATATTATTTTTTTAAATTCCTTGCTTAGGCAGACATTAACATGTCCGACTGGCCATATAAAAACGATATTAATATAAAATAGGGATAATGACAGTTTTAATATTGTTTCCATTCTGAATATTGAATTTACTAAAACAAACCACAGATAGATGTCATAAGTCACCCCATAGAGTATAGACCACAGTATAGTCTATAGTCACAGATAGCAGCAAAGAAAATTGTCTTTATATTATAAACTGTATTTTTTTAAATTGTTTTTACGTTCTTAGTCTAAAACTTGTCATTATGCCTATTTAAAATTTAATTTCACTATGATCTAGCGAATATTATTTAAGCTTAGATATGCTTGTACTTGGAAATATTGGTATTTTGGAACCTGTTAAAGCGTATGTGATAAATAAATTTTACTATATAGGGGCGTGATAAACATTTTGATGGATCGACTAGATTTTAGAAATTATAGTTTAAACAATAAATAAACACACTTTTAACTTATTACACTCACATGAAATGAAAAATATTACATTTTTGACACAATTAAATCAGTAAGTGTATTTATATAACAATATGTTATTGAATATTATAGTACATTGTGTATTCTATAAAATAAAATCAAGTCTCAACGAAAAAAACTGAGAAAACAATATATTTCATTAAATAACATCTAATAAAAATAAAGCCATAAAGGGAATTCAAAAATGTCAACTGTCACGGTGACACTGACAGGCGCGATTTTAGGGGACAGTTGACATTTTTGCAATGACATTCATTCAATTCTTGTATAAAACATGATTCGAAATATGTATTTACAATATGGTTGACAGTAGTTTAGTATATTTTTTTATTATTATTGGCAAAGCTTTTTACAAATTCAATTTCTAGGATGCATACATACATTCTATAACAGAATTTATACTCATAAAACACAAAATGTTATATATTTAATTCAAATAAATACAAAATATAATGAAATGTTAATAAGGGGGCGTTCAAGTATTACGTAACGCGTTTTGGGAGGGGGGAGGGTCCTTTTGTAAAACGTTACGACGCGGGGCGGGGATTGAATTACGCGTTATTGTTAATATTATTTTCGACTTACACCACATAATAGTAACTAAAGAGACACAAGGTGGTCACGAAACGTTTTACTATACTTGAGTACATTACTGTACTAGGGTACTGAAAAACGTTACGGCGAGATACATGGGGTCAATAATCTCCAAAAATTGCGTTACGTAATACTTGAACGCTCCCTAATGCAAAAACTTTAGAAAATTGGTTAAATTCATTATTAAAACAAACTTTATGTCACTTCAATTATTTACCTATTATACATGTCCTCTGAGAAATGCGTGAATATCTCAAAAACTACTGAACCGATTTTGATGAAAAGTACACGTTAGGATAAGCTTTAATTGAAGTGGTTAAAATGGAGTATGAATCTCAGATGAAAAATTAGTACATCTCACGGAGTATGGCTTAGTTGAAGTGGAACTTGAACTGGAAGGGCGATCCATGTTGGAAGTGATTGAAGGGGTTGTTCCCGAAGGGTTGTCTGCCCCCTTCAGGGTCTAAGGGGTCCACCCCGCTGTCGAATTGAGCCCGCTTTTCGGGGTCCGTTAACACCTGTAATTTGTTGTAATTAAATTTTATAACTCTTTAGATATTAACTGTAGTACTTATTATACCTAAAATAAAAGAATTTGGCACCAAATAATTATTAATTGCAATTTTGGAATTTTGTTATCTGTTAACTCTGAAATGATGTAAAATTCAAATTGTTATCTGTGACTGTTTTCTAAAATTTGGTTGCTTATTAAATACTAAACAAAACTGACATATGACAGATCCATAAACACAAGAACAGCACTACTGCTCGCTTTAGTCGATCTAAACTTTTTATCATTTATATTTACTATCAATGCCAATAAAAACAGCCATATTTATTTACGATAACGTTATCTTAATATATATAAATTACGTGTCATGTTGTTTGTCCGCTATGGACTCCTAAACTACCGAACCGATATCAATTAAATTTGCACACCGTGTGTAGTTTGATCCAACTTAAAAGATAGGATAGCTTACATCTCAATATATACCCCCAAAATTTTATTTTATAGCAAAATATTTGTTTATTATTTGATAGTCACAATTCTAACAGATGGCGTTGTGTTAAAAGTACCAACGTTTCACAGACGCTACAATTTAATGGCATAACGACCAATAAAGCATGGCGGTCGCCATGACTGGTGTTCTCCTACCGTTTCCCTTGAATAGTTTACTACTATGTAATATAGCAAAAACCTTAGCCACAGCAACGCTTGGGCGGTCTACTAGTAATAATATATAATGCATATCTACTTAATAACGAATACACAATGTTTATTTTATTTTTATTAAATTCAGTTCTCACCTCCTTAGCAGCAGCGATATCAATGAACTTCTTCTCTGCGACCTTCTTCTCGTCCCCTTGGAAGTTGTCTGGATGCCATTTCTGCGCCGCTTTACGATATGCCTTCGTGATCTCCTGTTTAGTTGCTGACCTGTATTCATAATAAAAAAACTAAGTCAGTATTATGCTTTCTCTTCCCATCAAATTGTATTTACCCTTAGAAAGAAAGAGACAGATGCGTACTACAAAATGGTGCCATAAGACCATTATTAGTTTATGCATAAATATACCTTTACAATCAAGGGAGCGTTCAAGTATTACGTCACACAATTTTGGAGATTATTGACACACCCCCCCCCCATGTAACGCGCCGTAACGTTTTTCTGTACGTATAGTAAAACGTTTCGTGACCACCTAGTGACTCTTTATACCTAAAAGTTACCATTATGTGGTGTAAACTACTGGACAGTAGAAAATAATATTAACAATAACGCGTAATTCAATCCTCGCCCCGCATCGTAACGTTTTACAAAAGGAAACCCCCCCTCCAAAATTCGTTACGTAATACTTGAACGCTCCAGTAAGTGGTTATCCCGGATCCATTTAGGTTGGAGAAAGTGTACACCATCCTTCCTTCACACATATATATATATGCGGTAATTAACATACCTTTTAACATTTAATATCTTGTAATAATCCCTTTGTTCGGATTGTTTTTGAAGTTTCTGCGCTCGGCCCAATCCGTCTTTCGCGCGTTGCAGACCCTCGTTCAAATCCAACGCTTCTTTGAACGATCGTATCGCTGCAAAAGATAAAAACATTATGAAATCCAGGGTTCGATTTCTGGCAAAAAGCTAATTGTTTCCATAGAATTTCTTTCAAAACTGACCAACAGAAGAAATTTTTGAATTTCAGATAACAAATTAACATTAAATATATTAAAACAATGACATTTTAAGTTATTTAAGTTTTAAAATGTTATTTATTAACATTTTGTTGTATTAAATATTTATACACATTCATATTAAAGAGGAAACGGACGGCCTTATCGATAACAAGCTCTCTTCCAGGCAACCTTAGTGCGGAAAGAGTGCATAACAAAATTTAAAAAAAAATGCAGATAACAATGTGTACTAGACAAAATAAAATACTGAAAGCTAATCTTTTAGAGTTGGTAGGTTTTAAAATACATAAAAATAATATACTTAAAACATATATACAGTCAAACCTGGATGAGCGAGAATTCAAGGGAGCCCAATCTCATTCTCGCTTATAGAGGTTTCTCACTAACCCGAGTTTCCCGCTAATGCCGGTACATGGGTAACGTTTCTCTCTTATAGAGGTACGAATGTAGTAAATATGTAATATGATAAAATTATGTGCATAATGTGCACAACACTTAAAAAATCCGTCAATTTCGTTTGGGTTTCTGTTTTTGTATTTTGAATGTAACTAACTCATAAATTTTGTCGAATATTCCTTGATCAACAACCGCCGCGTATTCAAAGTACAAGCTCGACTGTCGCTTATAGAGGTATAGATAAGTAGCAGTCTCACTTACGGAGGTCCATGAGGGAAAAACGACTCTCTCTTACAGAGGTTTCTGTTTCTCGCTAATAGAGGTTTTGGGAGCTTAAAATGACGGGTCCCGGCTATTACTCTCACTTATAGTTTTCTCACTTATCCAGTTCTCGCTTACCCAGGTTTGACTGTATTTACAAAAATCACGATGAAACGGATGGATAGGATATGGTTGAGGTGTTTATATAGAAGATTTCATATGTGTGTGTTCTAAAACAGAAATACAGCCAATTAAAAAAAAAATATTATAGATTTGGTACTTACCATCATCAAACATATCGAGCCCAATCAAGGCATCTCCTTTATCACACAGCACACTCCCTTCTTTTTGGATTTCCAACGCACTGTTACATTCTTTCAACGCATCAGTCCACTGTTCGTCCTGAAATTATTTATTTAATTAGGGAGCATTCAAGTGTTCCGTCACGCAATTTTTTGAGATTATTGTCCCCCCCATATAACGCACCGTAACGTTTTTCTGTACCCAAGTACAGTACTGTAACCAAGTATAGTAAAACGTTTCGTGACCGCCTAGTGACTCTTTATACCCCCCAAAATTCATTACGTAATACTTGAACGCTCTCGTACACTTTGCACAAGAATTAAACAATAATATGAAAATAAACATAAAAAGCGGTCTGTTCCAGGCAACTAAGCACTATCTATTTATATACGCTTTAAGTTAAATATAAATTTAAACAATTCCTTCTATTTAGAATTTCTATATATAGTATAATTATAGAAGTTGTCGAACCATTTATCCCGTGAAGTTTGACATATTTGACACTCAAAGAGAGATTGATATCTCGTAAAACAACTATAAATGAACTCAAAAATATATGAAATTTAACAAAAATTGTTAATGTCGTAAAATGATAAAATTTTTTAAAAATCACAACATTTGGCGAAAATTTCCAAAATGTGCAGAAAACATCAAGTATTGTTTATAATGTTCAAATCTGGCGAAAATGTCAAATATTGTTTTTAACGTCAAAAAATGTCATCTGTCATACCTTAGCGAGACAGGAACATAACCATTTCCTTCCTTCGTACACCACAAGCGTGACTTCCTTTTCAGCAGCCAACACACTCTTAGCCGAGTCTATACAATCGCTATACTGACGCGCCTCGCTGCTTTGCTCGCACCTCAGCAGTAATTTGTCTATTTTTTTCAACTTTTTATATAGGGGAAAGCATTGTTTGTGTTCTGGATCCAGTTTTAAACACTCGCGCACTTCCTGTAATTAATAAAAATATTATTTATTGTTAAACCGACTTAAAAAGCTCCTCTTTTTTATTATTATTTTTATCAGTTTAACCTTTTTTGATTAATTTTAATTTCAACAATATATTTTAATATGTTTGGGTATGATAACTCAAGGCTCCAAGCATATGTGCAAGATTATCATTTACTCTAAGTTTAAAATCATATATTCTCAAAAAAAAAAAAAAAAATTCATAGACCAGCAAATCGACTAGTCGAGGCACAGAAGGATGATCACCTGCTTGTGTTGTTTTTTTTTATTTCTAACAAAATAAGTTACCATAACAGATCAAACCAGCAACATTTTTACATTTATGTTACATACAAAACAATACATATACAGATAGAGAAAAATAACAAACCATAACTGTATTTACAGATTAAAATATTTACAAAATGACTAACTATTCCCTACAGTATAGGAACTGACATGAAGCAAACCTTTAGTTCACTCAACGGACAATTTAAAACGTCTATTAATCGAAATATTTCCATACATTGTGTCATGTGTGCCCTTCGAAAGGTCAGTTTTCGCTGAAGGAACGAATAGTAACGGCGGTCGAGGCTTAAGTACGTAACAACTTTATAAGATGCATGGTAAAATCACTACTACTAAATATTACCTTTAATGCGTCGCTAACGTGTCCCAGTTGATAAAGTAGCGAGGCTAACCGATGATAACCAGCAGTGGAATCTTGCTGTAGACGATTCACTGACCGGATGTCAGATACCGCCGAGAACAGGTCATTCTATGAGAAAGTCATTAATAAACAATTACATACATAGAAAATAGTAATATATGGGTTATAACTAACATAGAAGTGTTATTTAAACTAGCTGCTGTGGTCTCTGGCAGAATGACCAGCGCTGTAGAACAGTCTGCTCCTCAGCATAATGCTGAGCCAGGGCCAATTACAACCACAGCACGCATTACACACTTGAAACGAACCGAAACGGAAAAGCATTTTTTTTATTGTTATTATGTGTGTTTATGTGTGTGTGTGTATTTGTTAGTAATAAATGTTATGTCTATGTCTATTTATAGTTTTATATATTTTTTTACCAAGTACGAAGCTAACCGAGAGATTGAGAGTACCCAACGCGCCATTCTCAAGATATTCTGTATGAAACCTTTTCGCTACCCAACTACAAAATTGTCAAAAACAAATCTTCTAACGGTTAGACAACTATACTTAATGGCAATATGTCGGATTTTTTGGAAACACCGACCAGACCACATATACCTCTTACACCACCACACCACATTACCACATATATTCAGAGGCCTTTTCATCATTAACCACTTTCTTAAAAACAAAATTTTCTCTATAGATTCATAACAGTATTTTTCGTGCAACAGTAGTTTAATTATAGTGATGAAGAATTTTTTACGTTAAATAATTATATACGTACAACTAGCTGCCCACGACAAGGAATCCTAGTGCACTTTCTAATTTTATATCCTTGTTTATTATGTGTAATAAAGCTTGTCTTTCTTTCTTATGTTTTGGTTATTATATTGTAGACAAGTAGAAAAATGTCAAATGTCAAATGTCAAAATTTCGTAAAAACACTCACCATAGCAATATAGCACTCGGCCCGGAGCTGCCTAAGGGTTGCGGACCATGGAGACACTTCTAACAGTCTAGTGGCAAGTTCAGCTGCACTTCTAAAGTCCCCACCCCGATAATAGGCCTCTGCCAATCGAAGCTCTTCGGTTAGCTCATCCATACGATGGAAGTATGTGAGTGCCTCTGAGTTATACGGGTCTTCGTATGTCTGAGGATATTAATTGTTTAGAATGAAATATACAGTACAAACAAACCATCCCAGTACAGATAATTTTATTACAAATTGTTACATGACTTAGTATAAAAGTTGTAAATTAATTAAATGTCCTGATGGAGAGAAACCTATATCTAGTTTGTGTCCACACCATTATGAACTTCTTTCAAACGATTAAAACGAATAATCTAAGTTATGTCATAATTATAAGTTTAGTCTTTAATTTTGTTCAAGCAATCACTTTTGATAAAGTATCAGAGATCAATGGAGAAAATGCAACAAAATTGGTTGCTATAACGCAAACCTTCCAAATATTCTTTGATAATTATATTTATTACAAACATGTGAATAAATGTAATGAAAGAATGTAGTTATCAGTTTAGCAGTAAAATTTCTAGTGATAAGCATATCATTATGAAACAATAACATGGGTTTGTCACACTTGGTAAACTGAACATTGCCTTATCTTCATTCGATATAGTTAATGTCACACACATTGTATTATTAAACCCATATTACTGGTTATTTTACGCGAAAGAAAATTAATTCGAAAATACTATTTCAATTTTTAAATACTATTTTGTTTTATATATTAGTCATTAACAGTTTTATATTGTTCCATGTATATATGAACCACAGACGAGTTTCTGGTCAAAAATCACACAGGGACGTTCTTACTGTGAAGTCTAGCATCTGTGTGACTACCTACCATATAATTAAGTCATTTTTAGAAATTAATAAACATTAATGCTGCTCATTTATAACGGTTCATTTATAGCTCAACCGTAAAATGTTAGTATGCTTTTTGTAGTACTTTTAGTAGGTCATTTCAACTGTAGGATTGTATTATAAAAAATAATAAAATTCATATAAATAAAAATGTTTAAAAAGATCTTAATCTCATATTTGCATGTTAAATTAAAAGTACAGAATTTACCAATTTTAGTGTAGAATTTTAAACACAACATTTTCATTTAAATTTCTTTAAAATAATACAACTTATACACTTATTCCATACAGAACTTTATGGGATCCCACACAAAACTGCGATGCGAATTTCTGCGATACGATTTAGTGCGACAAACCGTTTGGTAGGGCGACCATTCCTTCGTAGTCAGCCGTACTGGACGTGTTTTAAGGAAGCGTAAGATGGATCGCAAAAATATTGCACTGCTGTTATTGTTAAATAGATATAAAAGAAAAAGAAGATTCTGGGTTCATCCATTTATTACGATTATGGACTCTGATGGGAACTATTTTACTCAAAAGTACTATGCGTTGAGAACTGAAGAAGATACATTTTCTGATTATTTTAGAATGAGCATATCTTCCTTTAAAGAGCTTTTGAGTTTATAATAACCATGCCTTCGAAAACGATCGTACACGGGGAGAATTTATTATAATTTATTTTTTATAATGTTCATCACTTGTGTCCCAAAGGACGGGACGCTCGTCAATTAAAGATATTAAAAAATCTATATCATATTCCGCCGCTTTTTTAAAAACAAAGAAGGCGCGCGACTTTCTCTAAAGCTGTCTCAGAGCGTACTAAAATGGCGTCACCAAGGATGACGTAATATCGCAGGAATGTGCGATGCGAAGCAGATCGGAAATTCTTGCGATGCGTTCGTGCGAATTCGCAGATGTTTGCGATGCGATGCGAATTCGCAGTTTTGTGTGGGAGCCCTTAATGCACATTATGTATGTTTGGAAAGATATATAAAATACATACCACTTGCAGGAAATCATCTTTGGCATGCATGTATTCAGCTTGTTTGAGGTAGACTTGTGCTCTATGCACTCTGGCTGCTGTGAAGTCGGGCTTTAGATCTAATACCTGAAAAGCATAAAGTTTGTTAACTTGTATAATTTAAAGGCATTGAGTTAGCGCTTGTTAATTTTGGGGTTTGCTGGTCTAATCAGCAAACAATGCAGAGGTCTTACGTTTGTAAGAACAAAAAAAACATCAAGTATATCTCTGGTTGCGACACTCCCTACACAAGATCTTGCATTCACTAAACAAATAATGTACAAACATTTGCTAACCAAGATGCTACAAAAAAAAGGAATTATGTAACTTAGACACTAATTATTTTATATATTTTTTTACCTTACTAAAGTCTTGTAATGCAAACTTAGCTTTACCAAGCGCATAATAGACTGTGCCTCTTTTGAAGTATGTGAGGTAATTGTGTGGGTCCCCCTCTGCAATAAAAGGGTATGGTTTTAAAAAAATTGTATTGGGATAAACTATATAATATAATATGTTATATACATAAATTTATATTGTGTTAAACTAAAATAAATTGGAACATGTGTACATGTAAAAAATAAACATTGTAATTGGCTGTTTAGTACAAAATAACAAATGAATGTTGATGATTAATTTAGTTTGACTATGCTGTGTATTAACAGTTTTAGTCAAATTAAAAGCTCATGTTACATTCTTTAAGGGGACAGTTTTATTATTTCTTACTAGACTTTAATATAAATTTTTAATTAAATAAAAAATTAAAGTATAAATGATTATTATCTATTATTTATTTTAGAATTGATATTATATTCACTAGTATTGTCTTTGATTAACATAACTTTTATTCATTTAATAAAACACTATTTTGACCGGATTGAAGTTATGTATTATTATAAATTTACAACTATTTAACATAATTTTAAATTTATCCGACGTTTCGCGTGCTTTACAGCGTGCGTGGTCAATTTATAATAATACATAACTTCAATCCGGTCAAAATAGTGTTTTATTATATTCACTAGTCAACACATAGTTTAGTATTCAATATGTATCAATATTTTCAACAAATTAGATTTAATAAACATTGTCAAAATTGTCTTACAAATGGTATTACTATCTCCATAAGTCATAATAAGAATACAACTATTTTATGAGAATTACATGGTCTGAAAAAAAACTTTAATACTGCAACCGTTCAATATTGTACCTAAAATGTTGCATGAATGAAACATTTGCTACATATTCTAATTGTAATGTTATCAATAATCAATCATAAACTTGAACTGTTTGGATACAATCTGTAAATATTGTTCCGCTTTAATGCTAGTAACAACCTTAAGTAATTGAAGAATTATAAAAGAAAGAGTATTTAAAATTGAGGCCGACAAATATTAAAGTATGTAACATGTCTTGTGAGTAGTGGTATACTTACCAACAGCTGCATGATAATGTGTTAACGCGTCTGAAAGTTGACCACGACTTAAGAAATCTCGTCCTAGTTCTAAATGTTTGTTTACTTCAGCCTGTGTCGTGCACTCTGAAACTATGAAATAATATCCGTATAATATATCATTACAATACCGACAATAATTTAAAAACAAACCAAAACTCTATTTTTACTTACATTCCAATACTAAGTCTAACAATAATAAAACTAGACATGGCGTGACTTTGTTCCAGTTGATATTCACAAGGCTGTCCATTATTTTCTGTATATGTATTTAGTAATCACAAATAATTAAAGCAATTCTGAATTTATTACACTAAAAATATTTATGACATAGCTTTTAACTTTAGTCCATCTTTCCTTCGTACTTTTTCGTGGTCTAATTTGATTGGACCAAATCACCACATTTGTGAACCGAACAAAACTTCAAAGTATTGTAAATTATCAATGTCTAATTAACAACTATCAATGTGTCATGCACATTATATTAGACAAATCCATAGCTAACAAACCTGTATAGTTTTTTACGCTTTCATCTTTTTCAAATTAATTAGTATATTTTAATATAAAGGCCAAAATTATTTATAGCAGTCCTCGAAGATGTATTCAAAGGTATAGAATTGAATAATAACGGCCTCTGGATACGAAACAAACATCTTACTCACCTTAGATTCGCAGACGACATAGCCGTCTTCAGTGACACCGCTACAAAATTAGAAAAAATGCTTCAAACATTAGACAGGGAAAGTCAAAAAGTCGGGCTTTACATGAATACCACAAAAACAAGAATCTTATCCAACAGTGTGTGCCAGCCAATCAGAGTCGACAGTAAACCTATAGAATATGTTAACAACTATGTATATTTAGGAAAACAAGTATCTTTCGATAAGAACAGCAGTGAAAACGAAGTAGATAGAAGAATAAACGTGACTTGGAAGAAATACTGGACCCACAAGGAAATTCTGAAAGGAAACTACAGTCTACAACACAAGAAGATAATGATGGATTCAAATATTTTACCTTGTCTTACATACGCAAGTCAAACGTGGGTTTTCAGCAAGAAAAAAACTAGAAAAATCCTGTCTTGCCAGCATGCAATGGAAAGAAGCATCCTAAAGTTGAGGAGAATAAACAAAATAAAAAATGTTGAAATCCGTAAAAAAACCAAACTTACAGATGCACTTGAACAAGCTCTAAGGCTAAAATGGAAATGGACAGGTCATATTGCTAGAGCGCGGGATAAAAGATGGACACTAGAAATAACGAAATGGACTGGACCTACTGGAAAGAGATCTATAGGACGACAAAGGAAAAGATGGACAGATGACATTGTAGAACTTGCGGGGGAAAACTGGATGAATGTTGCTCAAAACAAAGAGAAATGGAAAAATATGGAGGAGGCTTTTACCCTAAAAGGGGCCATACAAAAACTAGACCACTAAAAAATTAAAAATAAATCTAACTTAAATTTTGTTTAAAACTTAGTAACTTAACTAATACTAATATTAAGGAATATAAACTAACCAATTGTTGTATGGATTAAATAAAGCTTAAATAAATAAATAAAAATATAAAGGCTATAAAATTATGTAGTTTTATTTTATAATTATCATAGCAATGATGATCCCCTAGTGTGGGGACTAGCGATTTATGATTTCTGTCACAAACCTTTCTGTCATCAATAAAGTTTTTATTATTATTATTTATTATTATATAATTTAAACAAAAACACTCCATTGTACTCATATTATTTAATTTATTTATATGGTTTTATTTACCATGGATATACAAGTCCTGCAGTCGATAATGGAACGTATAAAAATCAATGTTGCCATATAATCCTTATGATTTTTTTTGTTTTAGTAGCAAACTTCGAGTGATATTCACAAATGAGACTTGGCGCAAACTAGGACTTCACGAACTTCAGGGGGTCTAGCCATATTTATGCCGAAAAGTATTCTACATACACTGCCGCTTTTGCGTAATTGTATTGTCGAACACGCTTCGTTCGCACTTCGCAGCCAAGGGACACGTTACTACACTACCGCAAAGTCGACAGCGTAGCTCCGTGCTGCTGTAATGCTGTTCGTAGCACATTACTCCGTCATATTGTCTCTGGATTAAATGTATTCCTAATGTCAGATTTATAAACCTAATAAAAGTGAAAACTTCACATTATTTTTTTTAATTTGCAATAGCAAGCTGCAAAATGAACATAAGAATGGGAGCAAGGTCAGAACAATTTTCGATTTTAGTGGAATTTATAGACATATATAGGTACAAAGTGGCATAATATATGAATTTAAATTGCATCTTAAAATTAACTACTTATAGTTTGTTAATTGTTTCATATTAAATTTAAGGTGCTAAATAAATAAAATATTTTGAACCTGCATAATCGCGATATATAATTTTATAAAATCATTAGTAAAGTACTCATACTTTTATATTTTTAGGATATTTTGAGATTACGCAAAAACACGGCCGATAAATGCTGTTTTTTCTACACTGCCGAAACATTAATTGGCCGTTGACTACAATAAGGCGTGAGCGTTAATGTGTGTATTTTCGTAGCACTGTCATGGCGTCTAGGCTACCGACTGTCGACACGAGCTGTCATTTACATACAAATTTAGTTTTCGACTTTCTACATACACTAAGCCATTTTGTCTAGGCCCCCAGAACGTTGAAAATGTTTTGGATTTTGTTTTGTTATCATTAAGTTAAAAAAAATTATGTACAAATAAACCAGGATCAATTAATATTCATAAGGATTAAATATGAATTCAATATTTGGTTTTTTATCCAAGAGAAACTACGTCTTAATCAGTATTTTTTTTAAACTAAAAGAATCTTGGATTTTATGTTGTGATTATAAATTGTTTATAATTAGAATTATAGATTGTTTATAATTAAAACATTTTGCAAACCGAAAAAATATTATATATGCCATAGTTAAGACACCTAGATTAATTTTCTTGCTATTTTAGTTTAACATAAATTAGGCTGTCTACTATAACTTCTAAATTTTAGTAGAATTTGGTAATGGTAGAAACAAGAAAGGTTAAAAATTTATAAACATACTGTGCTCTGGCAACACTGTCTTTCTTTTACGTCAAAAACAAGTGTTCGGTTAGTGTTATGATTTTTCCAATTTTTAAAAATAAAATGGTTATTTTATTATAAAATACTATTTTAAATAGAATTATAAATAATGAATCGATATTCTTTCCTTACATATATAAGTTTTTAATTTATGGTGGTGAAGATAAAATGAGATTAAATTCGAGATGTCAACATAACCTCTTGTCAATAATGGTCTTATCGAAATGTTTGTCTTTAAGGAATGGCAGACGCGCCGTCAACAGCGCCTAAGGCCAAAGCGCCTAAAACAAAAGCACCAAAAGAGAAAGCTGCAAAGGATGCTCCAGCGGCGCCAGCAGAATCCCAAAAAGTCGTACGCAAGGCTTCCAAAGCTCGTCACGGTAGACTTTATGCTAAGGCCGTGTTCACAGGATACAAACGTGGTCTCCGAAACCAACATGAAAATACTGCACTTCTGAAGGTAAAACTATATTACTGTTTAAATTAAACTTAGGTTATTACAGAGTTAAATAGTTTAACTCATATCATGTTATACGTTAAAATAATCGATCTTACATTCTGTATATTGAAATTGTAACCTTTAAAACTTGTAACCATAGTATTAATTGTTATACGTCCCAACATTTCTTAATTGTTTTAACTACATTTTTAACTCTTAGTAAAAAATCTAAAATAAGAGAAACATCTGTAGATTAAAAGCATTTAAGCTTTAGCTAGAAGATGACTTCAGTGTATGTTTATTTTTACTTTAAAACCTCTAAATGATGCCTTAGACATTTGAAACCTGAACTTAATGTGGACACATTATAACTGATGATTTGATTTAGATTAACAACATCATATTTACATCAATGAGTGCTGTACATATAACCCTCAAATTTCAGATTGAAGGTGCTCGATCAAAAGATGATGCATTATTCTATGCAGGCAAGAAATGTGTATACGTATACAGAGCCAAGAAGAGGACACCTATTGCTGGAGGACCTCGTGGAATTAAGACCAAGTTGAGGGCCATCTGGGGCAAGGTGACCCGTCCCCATGGCAACTCAGGCAGTGTCAGAGCTCGCTTCAAGTCTAACCTTCCTGCTCAGGCAATGGGACACAGAATACGAGTGGTAAGTTCAATGTTTTTGTTTCCTATGTGGTTTGTCAAAATAATCATATAGACCTTATAGATTTTTTTGTATTATACTTTTCAAATTTGCACAATTTGATTCATCAGTCTGCATCATCTGTTTTGATCAGTTCAGTATGATTTAGATCAAGTTTAGGATGACAATCACTTATTAAAATGTGAACCGCATCAGTGATCTATCTTTACTTTTGCAACTTTATGTTTCATATAAAAACACATACTGGTTAGTTTGTGGAACAAATAACTCTAATATGTCTGTTGCATTGAAGTTTAATTATTTTTGATTTATTAAAGTCTACTTAAAGCTTAAAACAATTAATATCATATAATGTTAATTATTTGATTTTTTATTAATGTTGTGTGTAATTAACAATTTCTCTTTAAATATAAAGTAAATATAAAAACTCAAATGCCAATTTTTTGTTTCAGATGTTGTATCCATCAAGGATTTAAACAGCCTTTAATTTAAGAATTAAAACTAAAACCCAAAAAAAAAATAGTTTATTATTATTATTTCCTTCCTATTTCAAGAATTTAAAGACAAGGTTAAAAAATTTAATTATTAAATTTTCCATACAAAACTTTATTGTTAATATTATGTTATGCTAAGGGACAGTCTTGCCTCAGACAAAGTTTTTAACAAATTTTCACCACTTTTTATGGTTCTGTCAACTTTAAACAGAGTATTATCATACATAAATCTATTTTATACAGAATTATTTAAATGTTGCAATGGTTTTACTTAACACTAACCTGTCTCGTTGCAATAGCTTAAACAACGACAGGAGAGTTACTTCTATAGTTAAAATAGTGTGATAAAGGTTAATTAAGTTTTTTTAATAAAAGGTTTGCACTAATTAGAAGAATGATAGTTGTCCTAAAATGTGCCATAATTGTACTTTCCAGTAGCAATGAAGTATAACTAAACTGGTAAACTTGAATAACTAAAAATATTGTCTTTATTTGCTAATAATTTGAAAGTATGAAAAATTATAGTGGTAAGAAGGTACTTCACTCCATCGTTTGCAACTATAAAGCGCAAATTCGCCCCCACGTGGAGTATTGTTCTCACCTCTGGGCAGGAATTCTTCAGTACCAGTTCCTTTCACTTTTCAACGAAGAGCGATTCGAATTGTCGACGACCAATCTCTGTCCGAGCGGTTTGATCCCTTGTCGTTGCGTAGAGATTTGGAGTCTGCATCTTCTACCGCATTTACCACGGAGAGTGTTCAGAGGAGTCGCTCGGAGTAATTCCTGCAGCTGAGTTTCATCATCGGACGTCGAGGCAGAATACGAAATTCCACCTGTATCACGTCGACGTCTGTCGTTCTGAACATGACAACAACTGGGCGTTTATTAAGGTAGCTTTTGCCGCGCACCACCACTATGGGACACCAGCTGCCCACTGAAGTATATCCTAAGAAAAGAGCATAAAAAATAAATCAATGGCGCTACAACCTTAGGTCTGGGCCTCAGATTTCTGTATCTGTTTCATGATCATTTGGTGATCAAAAAATAATAAATAAATAATCTAATAGGCAAGTAGGCGATCAGCCTTAGTGCGTGACGCACGCCGTTGACTTTTTGGGTCTAAGGCAAGCCGGTTTCCTCACGATGTTTTCCTTCACCGTTCGAGCGAATGTTAAATACGCACATAGAAAGAAAGTCTATTGGTGCATAGCCGGGGATCGAACCTACGACCTCATGGATGAGAGTCGCACGCTGAAGCCACTAGGCCAACACTGCTCTTAAGAAAAGAGCATACCAATTTTTATAAGGGCGGCGGTATCACATAACACCAGAAGAGCCACCTGCCCGTTTGCCCTCGGGCCAACAAAAAACAAATTTTTGTTTTACTCTTTCATTTTCGGAGTTGTGAAGGTGGATATATATACTTCCATCATTGTCAAGATTTAAGGCCTACTTCTTAGCAAGTCTTATGATTTGAAGAATATCGTATTCCCGATCTAATTATAAATCAACTATAAAAGCTTACAAAACAATAGTTTTTTTATAGAACAATAAAGTCTAGTCAATTAAAATTACTACAATAAGAAGAATATGGCTTGAAACTGACTTAATTGTTATGTCGTGTTACCGGGGTAGTAGGCAATTGGGTCGCCACTACAACAGCCGTGACACGAATAGCTCAACTGTTATTGATCACTATCGCTTCTATTGTAGCTTTTGATAAGAACCCAAGACCTTTTCATTGCTTATACAAGAATGTAAAATTTGTTTTTATTATCGTTACAAACATCGATAGCATTCATCCATCATATATCTTACAAAAGCGCCTACTAAAAAGTTATTAGTAGTATAATAGATTTTGTGTGTCGTGGTATTTGGTATAATTTCCTTAATTCGCGCGAATACTTATAAATGCTTGCCAATGCTCGGCACACTGCAGCATTAGTACAAGAAAAATAAAATAAAATATTTCATGTGAGCACTTATTTTATTTATATTACCTATAGGCAAACAACATACTCAAAAAATTAAATTATAAAACTAAAGGAAAATCAATTTCAAGGTGTGCGGGGAGTAACTATGGATATCTTGACCTAGCTCGTTTATCAGAATACTCATGCTGGATATTGGTGAGTTTTGGCCAAAACGCGTTCTTCTGAAATGAGGGAAAAATGGGATGTTGAATATGCCTGGCGTATCTAGAGGGTTTACGTTTTTTTTTAAATTTAATTTAGTTAAAAGGTTGGAGCAATCAACCTGATTCAATCAATGACAAATTGATCGATATATCAATTAATTTTCTACGATTCTCCAATGACAACTCTTAATGTGCGCTAACCTGGTTTCGTATGTTGGCAACTCATCAGTTCATCAAGATGCAATTATATAGGTACGTCCGATTCTTAACTTCGTAACTTTAAATGTTTGTGCATGTTAAAGTATAATCTTGTTAATAGTAGTTAATAAGTTTAAGCTCTGAAAACGTAACAAGTTCTTCATTGAATACTACCGAGGCTTGTTTAATTTCTTTCTCTTTTATTTTATTGCTTATGTCTTTTTAGTAATCAGGTTCGATTTTTCTATGAATAATTTTAGCCTAAGGTTTAGAAGTTGACGGCAATGTAACATAACTGTGACGTCCCTGCCATACAGTGCCCTATGTGTGTATAGCAATAGCTTTTGCTACAACGAAAACATAAGTTACATTTCACATTCATTGCCTTTATTTTTTTGCAGGCACGATTAGTTTGGCCTTTGAATACTACACATAATCAGGGCGGCATATTTTTGAACTAAAGGTGACCACCATCAATACATACTCGACCGTGACTTGATTAGCTGTTGTAGCAGACAAGACTGTTAGTTAAGCAGAACGCTCCCATTGTTGATAGAAAACTGACATGCATAACTGCACTGCATCGCTCTGTTACACTGCTTTCATATTTACATAATCGATACATTGATTAATAGTGACAAGTTGCTGTTTAGGTATTTGATACATCAAAAGGTGTAGGTATGTATGTTGCATCAACAACAATGCGAAGTTATATGTACAACTTACAAATCACATAGAGTAGAGATATTGTGAAAATTAAATCGGTATTTTAATGTGGTGGACGGTGAAATCGTAATCAATTTTTGTTTCACCGTCACATAAATTTTTGTATTTATTTTAAATAAATAAATAAGTATCAATAGCAAAATTTAAAATATTTTGAATATCACTTTACAATTAAGTTTATTAACAGAAATTTTAGTTCTGGTAGCAAACTTTATCTGATATTATAGGTAACAACTAAGCCACCAGACCTTTAAAATTAGGTGGATTTGGATGTGCAAGTGTGCAGTGAACGCCAGGCAAATTAAAATTATTAAAAATTCCTTCTATAGCGAAATCAAATAAAACTTTATTGAATTATATTGGTAACTTGGTTTATGAACGTCAATAATAAAAAAAAACGCTAGATATAAATTTGGATTTGCCAGTTCCGAGCGTAGAGCGAGCGAAAATAACTGGTGTGCAAGAAAAGTACTATAACCACTTGGAACAATCACTTGGCTTGGTAGGAACTGAACTAGCTAAACTTCTAGTCCTCCTCCTCAGGATTATAAAACAGTTGTACCTATTTTTCAGAGGCTGTTTCACCAATACACCCACGAGGTTGGAATAGAGGCTGCGCTCAGCCTCGAGTGATGAGAAGACCAGTAATGGCCTTTAAAAGATCATCCGTTAGTTTAATAATAATTTAAAGACATGTATTTGCCACATAAAGACCTATAAAAAATCTGAGGCCAGTACAGGGTAGGGTTGTAGCGCCACAGATTTTTTGTTATTTAAGGACGAGCATATATGGTTAAGATTATTTGTCTCAGTATAATTATTATAAACCTTGTATTATCGTATTACACGGTTCGAATAACTTCAGCAATAATTAACATCGCGTTTAATTGATTGTTATTAAGTTTTATTTCATGCTTAACTGCGCTCAATATACTCGTAGGTAGGGATGTGACATTCTGCATAAAAAATCGATTTTTTATTAATCGATTATTTTTTTAGCATGAATAATCGATTAATAAATAATCGATTTTTCTTAAAAAAATAATCGATTTTTTTTATTAATCGATTTTTTCCTAATTTTTGAATTAATTTCAAAATAAACACCCTAAATATTTTATTTTTCATGGTTTTTTTAAATTAAAAATAAACAATAGAAATTATAAACACAAATTAACGTTTAAGAATAATCAAAATCGAAATTAACTTTATCTCGTTTTGATAGATTTTGATAAATGCTGAGTGTATTCCTTTTCAGTAGCACATTGCAGTATTTTTGTTGTCTTTTTAATTGAATGTAGTCTTGTGCTGCTGAATAAATTTATTTTACTTTTAAATTGTAGGGTTCCATTCAAACTTGATTTTTTGTAAAAATTAAAATTAACTGCTTCTATCATCCTTTTGATGTTTTACAAAAAAACATCAATGTATCGCATTGTAAACATCGTTGTGTATCGAATATCCCTAATAGTTCGAGGTCCGGGTTATAGAAGACCAGACATAATGTCGGGAGGTGGCAGATAAAAAATCGATTATGATTGATTTTCAATTATAAAAATAATCGATTATTTTAAATATAAAAATCGCGTAAAAAAATCGATTAAAATCGATTTTTTTAATAATCGATTATTTTTTCACATCCCTACTCGTAGGTACCTACTATAGCTATTAACTGCGGCATCGCATTCATACATTTTCATACATTCCTTCTTTAACCTTTAGAAGTGAAGTATCCAGATTTTTAACAAGCACGTTGTTTGTACAGTACACGCTAAGGTAAAGGATGCCTAGGGAGCGTTCTAGTATTATGTAACGAATTTGGTTGGGTAAAACGTTACGATGCGGAGCGGAGATTGAATTGTTATTGTTAATATTATTTTCGACTTTCCTGTACTTTACACCACATAAATAATGGTACTTTCAG